CTATTAATCTAAAGATTTATTATATCATATTTAGACATCCTATTCTACTGAAGAAAACCAAACAAGTCAAAAAAGCATCAGACATTAAAAAGCAGAGAATCATACTATATACTGTTTCAAAGCATATTACCACCTGGAGTTTTCAAATACACCTCTAACAACTGTTTCAAATACAAAGATTAACGAAGTTTTCTTGTAGGTTCCTAGCTGCACTTAAGTAACTTAGAAGATTTTTCTCATTTAGCTATACTGCTATCAATGAAAACATGTAGCTTTGTTCCAGCAGGAAATACGCGTTCTGAATGGGTATCTTACCCGTTTCTTTTGCCTTGTCTTCTGCACTTTTTTCCTTTTTGGTGAGAGTTTCTTCATGTGACTTCATCTTTAATAAATAAAATTATGTTAAAAACACTTCATCACCATTTGTGTATTAAAACAAGAAGGCATTAAGAAATTTACTGAAGCTAAACAGCAACCATAAAAATCTGCTCCATTAATGAAACTCTATTCAGCTGTGCCTTCTTTGTATCTTAAACTTCTGATTTTAAGCAATGGCAACCTGACTGACAGAAGTTGTAAAAGAAAGCAGTTGCTATATCAAATCCAGTTTTCAAAAGTGAACAGAAGGAATCTTCTAGGTTACTGGATCCAGTTTCCTCCCATTAACTAAGAGTTAAAACTTCCTTCTTCAAGTAATGAAGATGCAATTATAAAAAAAATTACATTTCAAACTCACAAGCTCAAGTGTAAAGAGCTGTAACCTCCAAATTACTGTTTTTATTATGTTTAAATCTTATTTACAACCTAATTAAATTTATTTTTAAAACCAAACTGGTCAGCCCCCATGTCCATTTTGCTAAGTTGTGATATTTTTCTCATATAGGAGATTATATGAAATGACTATGGAAATGAAGATGCTGTCTCTGACTCTGTTCAGGCTGGGTTTCTTTATCCTGAAGGCACAACAATATTCCAGGTGCACTCTCCAAGTGCTGTAATATCTCTTACTATAAATAATACATATCAAGGCATTTTAAAAAAAACAAACAACTGATCACGTTTTCTCCTTTTTTGATTTAGAAATGGTAGAAAATGTATCATATTTCATGGATAAAAGTCTATGTTGCAGCTGCATGACCAAATGAGAAATTCAAATAAAATGTCAGGTCAAATAAAAGGTTAAGTCTACTCACTATTTATCTAATTGCTAATCTAAGACTATTACTCTGCAGTAATCATCCTTCTGTCCACTGTCATTCTGAAGACTGAAAAGGAAGTGAAATACTGATGAGGCTTAAGTTACAGCCTCAGCTAACAGCACTGTTTAGATTCTCAGATTCTTATCTGGGTGGGTAGGGGGTAAGATTCCCACCTTGTTTTAGATACTTGTAGAAGTCAGTCAGAAGCCTTTATAAGGAAGAATCAAAAATTATGAAATTTTAACTCTGGAGCTCGCATTCAAAGTCAAACTGAGCAAGAAAAGGCTTCTCTACAACAATATACATGGGCTCAGAAACTGAAGTGGGGGGGGGCACAGAGAGGCACAAAACAAACCCAACAAGTTACATTTCCTTCCAATTTCAGTAATTTAATGCTTTTCTTACCTTAAGAAATTTGTATGCTGCAAACACTCCCACTCCAAGAGCATACAATGGCATGAGGGTGAATGCCAACTCTCTACCATTTCCTCTTGTTCTCTCACTCTTTATCTCTTTTTCCATTGCATTTCTCATCTGCTGAATGCTCTGGTGAGTATTACTGTCAGAATTTCCTGGATTCCGGTGAACTTGATAAACTGTCTGAGGACCACCTTAAAAGTTAAATTGAGAAAAAGAAGACAAAGAAAGGAAATTAAGACCACAATTAGTTTCACAACTGGAATTAAACTATTTTCTTCTTATGTGACTTTGTTCATCACTCCACTAAGATGGTATGGGAAGCCCTGCATCCAAATAAAAATTACTGAAACCAAAAAATTAAAAATCACTCTTTCATGAATTGTATGCAAAGTTAAATCTAGACAGCACACTCTCAAACTAGTTTCTATGTTTAAGATATGAGTTTTAAGCTTCTTCACAGCAATACTGGCAAACCTATAGCAACCTGCAGAAAAGTAGATGTTACAAGAAACAAATCTTAAAACTATACTCACAAAAACCGCTGATAATGCTGAGAACAGTTACAAATTAGTATTTTTCCTCTGTAGCAAAGGAGTTAAGTACAAATTGAATTATTGTTTTGTTGAAATACACATGCTGTGTGATGATTTTGTTATTTTGACACTAAATTCAGTGTTAGCTGGATATTCTCACAGGCTTAGAAGTGCTGTACCTCTGCAAATCAAATATTTAGCAGATTACACAATAGCAAAGAGATGCAGCCTTGGACATCTGAAGTATTTCTGCATGTGATTTCCCTGCCAGAACAGGGAGCAAATAAAAGAACAGCCAGTGTCATTGTTCCACTCAGGAATTAGGTTATTTGGTAGTAAAATCTGGGGTTCATAGGCCATGCACATGAGAAACAGTGCTATCAGCTAAAGAATGCAGATGGGTCCAGAGACAGAGAGCAGGTGACTGGAGGCATGGTAGTTTTACACTGGTGTCTCAACTGACTGCCTAGACTCATACTTTCAAATCCCTTTGAACATTTAGTTCATCATAATTTAATATATCAGAACTGGATATGGCTAAAACAAGATTCACATTCCATAAAAACTCCCAAACAAAAGACCATTATGCAAATCACTCCCTGTCACTGAATACTCAACAGTGGCATCTCAAGAATTTACAGCCACATAACTCAAGGCGCAAGAGACAGTCACAATCACGTAGAGAAAAAAATTAACATAAGTTACAACTCCCAGTGAAATAACTCTTTCTTCTTTTTAGTTACATCATCTTCCAAATACAAGAGAAAAAGGGTTCTAATTCTGCTAACCTAAGCTGGGACTTTGTGATAAGAGAGCTCCAATGTTGTTTTAGAATTGTCTAACATAAGTTAGCCAGAAAAGTTTTTTAGTTACAGGAAAGACTCTGACCGTAGCAACGTTTACTTGATAGCAAACTGATGGTAAACCGATGCTCTGCGGTCAAGCCGTGCCAAGTATCACTACAAGTTCTTCTGCATGTAATGTATCAGTTTGCAACATGCCCATTTGGAGATCTTTTATTTGCATGTTTGCTCAGTGGAACTGGAAACAGAACGGAACAGTTACACAAGAAAATTAAAGGCCCTACTGGATACAAGCAGAACTTGAGCTACCTTAATCATTTAATGCAAGTTCAGGCATACTCCTTTCAACACAAGCAGGTTTAGACTTACTACAAATGCACTAATCTGGAAATCTCATTTTAACAGTCTTCCTCCTCAGAATGTTTTCTACTGATTACTAGTTTTAAGTTTGCATTGTTCTTTTTTTTTTTTCTTACATTAAAAACAAATAGAACTGAAAGTAAGTGAAATTTACTGAAATACTTAATATGGTAAAGAAAATTCCAAAGGTCATCCAATAAGAATGCAGATGCAAGAAACACCGTCCTGGCACTGAAGAAACAGCTAAGTGAGTTAGCGACCAACCAGGAGAAAAGAACCACCCAGACAGGTGAGGACACCAGATCTGCCTGAACCCTATTTTATGCAGTGCTGGGCCAATGCATCAGTAGAATTAGAATGTGAAGTGCCGCCTTTTTGTGAGGTTTGGGTTTAAAACAATTTGATTTATAGGAAATGAGAACTAACATATAAATTAAACATAATGAAGCAACAGGCCAGACGAGCTTAAGAAGCACAAAGCTGGTTTGACATCAGCTGGGAAGAACGTGGTAGCAGCTCAGGCTTCACTTTTTCTGCCTCCCGGGAAAACACACAGACACATAATTTGAAAGATTACAGCAGCTATTTATCCCTTACAATGCCTTCGAAGGTATTATCAAGGAATAGCAGAGCCACCTTAAGAAGGCAGGCATTTTGTTATTTTCCAGAGTGAAAGCAGACCTTTGGACATTAAGCTAAATCCTCAGCTGACGTACAGTGACATAGTTTAGCATACACTTACACGATCACGCTTTACCAAGAAGCTCTCTAGCCCGTTCAGTGATACCTTTTCTAAACAAGCATCTTCAACTCTTTCCAACACATTACCGGTCAAATCTCACACGATGCATGCTAATGTTTACGGGCACTAACGCTCGGCTTCCTTAGTGCACTTCTAACATGCGCAGTGGATTTCCTCCTCTGACACCTCACAGCTACTCCGCTGCCGGAGGAAATAAGTGCCGCCCTGCAGGCACTATTCCTTACAGAGCCACGCTGAGATGCGCTTCCCGTAACAGCGTGTTACCTGTATTTGTAAGTCACTTGCTTGGGATGACACAGGCAAAAATCAGAACTGTCATGAACTAGAGAAGCAGAACACAAGGTGGGTGGCGTGGAGGAGGGACGCAGGCCAGCTAGGAGCCGGCTGACAAGGCCTAGCCCTTCACAGCCAGTGTAAATGACCAAGCGGCTCCCGTCGGGCAAGGGCATAATCCTCTCCGCTCCCGGGGGCTACGTTCCCGAGCCAGGGGCCGGCTCCGAGCAGCCGGCAGTGCGGCCCCAGCTACCCCTGTGTCTCCTACCTCTGCGGTGCTGACGGAGATCGTAATGTCCGGGGCCGGCCCTGCCGCCCCGCAGAGACCGTCCGGCCCGCCCGCCGCCGCCTCCGCCGCCCGCCCCGAACATCCTGGGCATGACGACGAAGACGCAGAGCACCAGCACCACCGAGACCACCACCTGCTGCGCCGCCGACAGCACCATGGCCGCCGTCGGCCCGACAGCAAGCCACCGCCCAGCGCGCCAGCCCCGCCCCGCCTGCCACCGCAGCGCCCCCCGGCGGGCTCCTCGCGTCACGTCGCAACAGCCCCCAGCGGGCCGCTCTGTGAGGGAGAAGGTTCTGGAAGAGGCCGGGACGGGCCAAGGTGGAGCCGGGATCTCTCTGCGGGACCCCGGCAGTTGGGGCCATGAGGCCATGGGAAGTGGTGCTGATCTTGTGGGTGGTGCTGAGGCCTGCGGCAGGGCAACAACCCTTCCTGCCGGCCATCACAGATACCGCCTTCATCAAGGAGTATGTGTCCGTCCACAATGAGTTCCGCTCCAAAGTTCAGCCAGAGGCCAGCAACATGCAGTACATGGTATGAGCAGGCCTGGGGGTGCACGAGTGCCTCCAGACAGCCGCCAGCAGCAGTAGAACAATGGGCCAGGGGGCTCTTGGTGGCCATGGGTGAGGCAGCCAGGATGGAATCACTGGTTTGTGTTCAAATGCCATCACATTCATTTGATAGGAAATAGAGTGAGTCAGTTGTAGACAGGTGAGTCTAGAAACATCACGCATGCAGGATGAGGATGCAGTGACACAGGCCAGCTGCAGATTATAGGATCGTACAAGGTACCTTAAAGATCATCCATTTGCAACCCTCTGCCATGGGTAGGGGCACCTTCCACTAGACCAGGTTGCTCAAAGCACCAGTCATCCTGGCCTTAAACGCTGCCAGGGATAAGGCAGCCATCGTTTCTTTGGGCAACCTGTGAAGGGCCTCATCACCCTCCCAGTAAGAACTTCCTACTAATGTCTAATCAAAGTCTTCCATTTCTCATGTCACTACATACCCTTGTAAAAAGTTCCTCTACAGATTTCTTGTAGGCCCTGCAGGAGTTTCTGCCTAGGAAGAAGCAATGGTCCATCAGCAGGACAATCCAGAAGAGCTAGGATCTTCATCAAAAGCAAGGACATGAACTGCAGTATTGGGGCTGAAGGGAATTTCTGGTAGCAAGGAAGATTTTTTGCTCATCAAAACAAATTGCAGCCTTTTTTCTTTTTTTTTTTTTTTTTTTTTCCTGGAAAGTGTTTAAAAAGAAATGAAGAAGATGAAGAAAATGTGAATGTTTGATGTTGCCCAGAGAAGCTGTGGCTGCCCCATTCCTGTTAGTGTTCAAGGCCAAGCTGGATGGGGCTTTGAGCAACCTGGTCTAGTGGAAGGTGCCCCTGCCCATAGTAGGGGAGTTGGAAACTAGATGATCCTTCAAGGCTTATCCAACACAAACCATGCTATGATTCTATGATACGATTCTATATTTATTGTATTTTCCTGAAAACTGGGAAAAACTATGAATAAAGGTATGCACATAGAAATATGGTTACAAAAAACTAAAGGCCTGAGGGACAAAACAGTTAGGAGAAGCCAGTGAAGTTACTGTAAGATCCATGTAGAGACTAAGACTGAACTGAAAGGTACCAACATCAATAAACCTATGCAATAAACCACAGGATCTTTTATAAGACATAAAAATAGGTATTTTAATGGTAGAAGAACCTGGCTGAAAAACAATTGAGACTGGAAAACAACAAAGATGGTTCATATTCAGGAATCAGAAGTTTTATTAATGGTGGCAGGCTACAAAGAACTAAGAGGTAACAGAATAAGTTACCAGCCAAACATTGGCATGTTTACCTCACAGACCTGCCTTTGTAAAATGCTCCAGTGTGAATTTAAAGCTTTACTGTAGGAGGAATAAGTGTTCTGGAGCCTCCCTTAAAAAAAAAAAAAAAAACAAACTTAGATGTAGATCAGAATCTACAGTCAATCAGAATCTACCATAGCTGTGCTTTCTTAGTTTGAATTAGTTTTTATATACCAAATAGAAATCCTTAATGACCTATTCAACAAAAACACAAAAAGAAGTTTCATGTTTAATTAGTATGACAGTAATTTCTCATTGAATATGTAAGTGCATTTCAAACAACTTTTCAGTTACTAGCAAGTGTTCTTAGTTAATTTTCAACAGTGAAATGGGAGAAAACAATAGTCTAATGAACCGAGGCATATTTCCATGCCGCAACAGGAAATGTCAATTAAAATAAAACACTGGTACTTGCCTAAATAAGGGAAAGTATTTCTTTATGAAACTCCAGCATAGTATATCTGTACTTTATTGCCTGACTGGCTTTATATGAGATCTGTGTGTAGCTTAACATTGCACAGCTATTTCACCTTTCATGTTTTGCAGACTTGGGATGCAGCTTTGGCAAGGACTGCGAGGGCGTGGGCAAGAAAATGTGTTTTTGAACATAATGTATACTTAACGGAGAGATATCAGTGCCATCCTAGTTTCACATCTGTTGGAGAGAATATTTGGATTGGAAGTGTTCAAGCATTTAATGTTACTGGTGTCATTAAATCGTGGTATGATGAGGTAGCATTCTATGACTTCAACGTGAATGCATGTTCTAAGTTCTGCGGTCATTACCTTCAGGTGAGAGTTATCTTTGGTAAAATGCCCTGTATAGTGCCTCCCACATGAATCAGTGGGGGCTGTAAATAATAGAGTTCTGTATGTGGTCCATAGTGACTGATATTTTATTGACTTTTGTAATCTCAAGCAATGTCATTACTGTCAGTTGGTTCACCTGTTTTGTATGTAGTAACCTACTCTTCTTGTTCACAATACTGGCCCTACCAAAAGCCTCATTATAGCAGTACTGCCTGAACTTTATAAAATAATCATTTCAAGTTCTACAGCTTCAAAGCCACACAGTTCTGTTTTCTGTAAGTTTGGAGATGCTGTTCAAAATAATCACAGTAACTGCAGAATGTTTGTGGTACTCCATAGTAGAAAAGTTAACAGAAGGAGAAAATCCATCCAAAGTAAATTGTGTTCTTTACATATCTTGTAAAAAAGGAAGAGAAGAAAAAGAGCATCAACAACAAAAGAGGCAATTTATGATACATATCTGATTTCTCAGTGGTAGTTCTGACAGTCTTAAGTCTGCTGAGAAAGTGAAGCTTTTCTTGGAACACTTAATAGTTTAAATGCATCTATTAATTACCATGATTAAAAAATAAGCTTTGCAATAGAATTAGTTGTATCTATGAGCAAATATATGGTATTTCACTGACCTAAAACAGATGATAGTTTTAATGTCAAGTATGTAGCTAATAAAAGTGACTCTAATTTCTTATCAGTATCAAAGGAGCTTAGACTGCTCTCTGTGCAAATTACAGATGAAAATACTGTGTGGTATACTTACTTAGAGTGCAACTGTTACCAGAAAACGAGAGTAGCTGTGAGGTTCTTTTTGAGTAACTTTGGATTGTGAAATGAAAATACTTTTAAGTTACCAGAATCATTACAGAGCATTTTCTGCTTGGGTCTTTTTGCACCTCTTTTTATGTCTTTTCTCACTTACTTCCTCTCAAGCGTTAATTCTTGTTTCTTGCCCTTGATTCTGCCTGTAACAAATTCAAAAGCAAGGCTGGGGGGATTTAAGTTTTGCTGTTTATGGGGCAGTAAATCCTTAGGAGAGTATAACTAGACAACATCTTGGGAAAGTATTTTTCACTTTTATTCTAGCACAATAAATTATGAAAAATTATATAGCAAGGTAGTTTCTAGCATTTTAAAATTCAGTGTTCAACCTTGGCTACATAGAATTCTGGTGGGTTTTGCACATTTCTCTTGGAGTAATGTTCACTTCTGATCTTTCTTTCTCCTGATTAATATTGCTTTCCTGTTTTATATATAGTTAAGTCATCTCAAAATGTTCATGCATTTCAGGCAGTATTTCAGGCTGAATTACACAGGCAACTAATTGCTGGAAACAAAACCAAGCAAGAGTATATGGGTTAAACACCAATGAATCTGTTAAAAATACGTATTTCATCAAAACTGATAATCAAACACCAGGCATGTACTAGCAGCTGTCATAGTCTTGAAGGCTATGACAGAAAGTTGAACATGGGTAAAATTTACAGATCATAGTGGATAGACTGTGTAGACCTGCCAAGAGAACCACAACACACTGATCTCAAAATGGTGGGAAACCTAAAAATATGTCATGCCGTTACATAAAAATCTGTGAAATGCTTAGTCCTTAATCCAAGAGTCAGGTAACACCACTTTAAATATTAAGATCCTTTTTGAAGAAAGGTTCTATCTGTTGAATGTAGCTGCTTCTTACAGTTACATTTGAAGAGGTAGAACTTGTGGGTATGTTCAAGTCTGTTTGTCAGTCTGAGGCCTGTACTGTTTGTACTGGGGAGGTACTGAGAGTAATCCACTATATCTTTTAAATTGTTCTGAATTGGAATGTATGATCATCCAGATGTGCTAGGTATATAGTTAAACTTTCTCACCTGAACTCAGTACGGTTTGGTTAGTCATACGCATAAGGTATAGAAAAGAATCTTATAAGAAAAAGCAGAGACTCAAACTGTAAGAGATAATAAAGCATTTTCTGTTAAGAATGGCAGATGACACTCCTTTAGTCTGAACATGTGCAGTGCTAGAGCTTTCAGACTTAAATTTACAGTAGAAATCAGCCGAACCACTTCTAGCACAGAGAAGTGCTTTTTGCAGACCTGAGTTATGAATGTTAAAGTTATAATTAAAGGAGCTGTTGAGTAGTTGCCACTAATTTCCCTTTTGTTCCAAGGAATCTACCCCTGAATCATAGTCATTGGCTCTTACTAAAATTGTTCTGTAGAAGATTCTGGAAACTTGCAGCATAGGTCATTTCATCTTGAAGGGTGAATATTTAGAAGTTCATCTTAAAAAATGTGCTTGCCACCAGTATTTTTGAATGTATAAGAATAGGTGCTGCAAAATGAAAATAAGAAGTAGGATTTCTGAAAATAAGGTAAACTTACCTAATATTGAACCAGGTTACTTTAAAGTGCAGTTTTTAATTTATTTAAAACCTTCATTGTTTAGGTCGTTTGGGACTATTCATATAAAATAGGCTGTGCTGTTGCTCCATGTAACAAAGTTGGAGGAATACGAAATGCAGCAAATTTTGTTTGCAACTATGCACCAAGGTAGGTTGCAGGTTTAAATATTAAAAAAGTAAAGCAATTGTAATGACATTTAGCTGTAAATAAATTGGGTTCTTTATTTATTGGAGAAAACAATGGTTGTCTAATTCAGTTATCAAGAGAGCTATGAGCATGTACTTACAGAGTTTTTTAATCTTCCAGTCCTAAGCAAAGAAACCCCAAACTTACCCATCCTCCACTTAAATGATTTCTTTTTCATATGACACAAAAGAAGTGGCAGCAGTTGCTGCAGGCAACTTCCAGTTTTATACATGCTTTTAATTGCACTTAGCTTTTTACAATGTATTTCTTTTTTTTCCTTATAAATTACAGAAATAATATCACAAGTGTCAGATTAGTTGCTTTTTTCTCTGTAACAGTAAAATAAATTTCATTTTCATTTCTTGACTAAAAGCTGTGACACACCACATGTTATTTGAACATTAGAAAACAGCAAATGATCAGTGCAAGAAGCAGCTAACAGCAGGGTGTGATTTTACATTTATACTATGAAAAAATATAGGCCCTAGTCAGTGCTGTTCCTAAATTAGGAGGAGTTTGAAGACACAGAGGCAGTAGTTCTAAAATAATGTATTTTGTCTCATAATAGTGCACAGTCCATAATTAGGCACATACATACACAATTTGTTTGTCATTTTTAAAACATCCATAGCTTGTGAGCTGGCATGACAGCTGTTTTGTTTTTTTTTCTTCTAGCAAACCTGGGCCACTTTTGAGGAGTTCAGTTAGCCTGAACTAAAAAATTAATTGAGCCCTGCCCATCTCTTTTCTTGTACGACAAAACCGGACTTGGACTTGAATTGTTATTTTGAAACTTGCTGGGGTATAGGATTTTGTTGTTGTTTTCTTTTTAAAATCTGAACTAACATGTTTACAGTTGCCATTGCTTCAACAGTGATCTGTAAGCCTTCTCACTTGAGATTTTCTGATCTATAACAGTATACCATGTTGTTTTGCTGTGTTGTTCTGCACATCCTAGAGAGCTGATAGCTAAGCTGAATAGCTGTCTTAAGAATGAGGTCTAACGTGTCATTGTTCTCTTGTTCGCGGCTTGATACCAGGAACTCTGCTCTCTATGTCACCACACAAACAAGTGTAGTTAGAGCAGACAGGCAATTGTCTAACAGCCTTTTCCCTTCCTAAACTGTCTGGAAAAATAGATAAACCCAAACTTTGCCAACAGTCATCCCCAGATGATAATTCTAGCTCCAGATACTGGAACATCCTTTTCCAACTAGATCTTCATGACTTTTTCCTAAGGTTTGGACCCTTAGTGGTCAGTTGCCTTAGAAGACAGCTAGAAAACAGTTTTTTTCAGAGTTAAGGGTGCACCAGTTTAAGGACCACCTTGCCAAAATCACTTCATTCAGTGTAACAGTTTTACATTGTGGTCCTTTTATAGATCGTTTGTGATCTGCTGCTGGGACCATACACGTCTGGGATGCCCAGAGTATCCTCCCCACTGAAAGAGAAGCATAAAGTATTTTGGAATGTGCCCTGTCATTGCTGTCATATTCAAACTTAGCTGCCACATCCGTGCTACCAGGTTCTGTTCGTCATGCTTTTCTCATCTCTTCTACCTAGCTTTCTCTTGGTAGGTGAATCTTCATCTGTTACGTCCAGGAAACCCTTAGCTCTAAGAGGAGCCTCAAGATGGTCTTTTGTATTCTGTTGGAAGGGTAGTAGAATCTTGGAAATACCCTTGAAAGGGTCTTGTAGGATGTCTCTTGGCTTACTGGGCATTCTTCTCAGCCATCCTAGAAAGCTTTTCCAACTGGTTATTTTCTCTTACCTTGTTATTTGTTATTTGCATTTACCTAGGGTTTTTTATTTTATTTTGCCTCTGCACTTTGTGCACCATAGGCAGAAAATCCAAACTAGAGAAACTCAACACTCTCACATATCACTCTGCCCATGGCTAAAAGCAGGAAGTGTAGACAACCTGATGAATCCTGAAGGGAAGACTAGATAGATGCTGTGGTAATTTATCACTTTACAAGATAACTTTATCAGTTGCAACTACCAGATTGCTAAGTTTTGTATATTCATAGGGTGCTCTGACATTTGCATGATGTAGGAAAACTCTTGACATCTCATGGTTTCTGAAGTCTTCACTGCTGGGCAAGTGAAAATCACTGGAAGTAAATATGGAGTGATACACATGAGGGAAAAGGTGTCACCTGTAAAACCATGGAGAATGTCAGCTCAATACTCACTAGCTGTCAGAAAGAAATGAAACAGTAGTAATGATTAATCAAAAGAGCAGAATATAAACCACAAGAATGTAAGTTTTTATGAAGAGAGCCTTTTAGTTTCTGTAGCCTAAACCAGCAGGACAAGTGAAATTAAAGCCCACATAATAGTCTCCCATATATTTTGTTTCAATTAAGTGGCATAGTCTTCAGAAACCACCTGGTGTTCCATGTGAGAGTGACATTTTTTTCCTCTCTAAGTAAGTAAATTTGTGCCTTTTTTTCCCCATTCCTTATACCTTCCCAATGAGGAAACCTAGGTGTTAAGTAATCTGCATATTATTTTTAATGACGAGATAGGGCTTCTTGGAGAAAAAGGGAAGGCCTTTCATCTCTCTGGATCTGTGGCTGACTGTTCTCACAAAGAGGATTTCACAGTGATTCACAGTGAACTGTGTGAAGTGTAATTATCACATGCAGTAAAAGCCTTTGATACCAAGAAAGACTTGTTGAATTGCAGCTCAGGCAATATCTGTAGCTTCTTTCTATTTGCATTCCTGCAACTGAAATGTACACAGTCACCAAGTGGGTCTGCTTTCACACCCTTACAAAGGCATTATGGTCTTGCCAGAGGTTCTAGAAGCAATGCTTTGTCCTTCAGTCTCTTTTATTCTGGATTCTGAGACTCTTTTTTAAGATACTGTGTGGGCTACTGTTGGGAATCACCTGTGCTGTGAACGTATATATGGACGATCATGGTAAAGGTAAGTTACTTAACCTGCAACTTCTTATTTTTGAGATGTTTATATATACATATATATATATATATATATTAATAACTCTCTTTCCTGCTCTTCTCTGACAAGTTCAAAACCTATGTTCCATTCTTGGTATCAGAAGGTCTCCATTCAGTTTCATTGCTGCCTGGACCGCATGTCAGAGCATATGGTTGCAGTATGCCACTCTAGATGCTGCTGCAGTAAAACTTAGGCCTACAGTGTACTTGTAGGCAATACATATAAAGTACATTTCAAAGAATAATAGCAAGTAAGTCACAGGTGGTGTTTTGTTCTTCACCATCCATCTTTTACAACAGCATTACAGGAACCTTCTATATGTCTGGTGAGTACCTCTCGTTTATAAATGCAGATGATACAGAGTGTAAATACAGGCTTAGGATCCTGAAGAAATGTATCATGGGTTTTGGTGAAAATGATTTCCTTTGAGGAGTACCCACTATGGAGGTGAGCAGAGTGGGAAACAAACCTAACTATAATAGCGCACAGTCCTTCGAGGGGCCTAAATCTGGCCCGGAGTTCCCAGGATTAGGCTATGAAATACAGCACTTCATCTTTTCGAATGAATGCAGCATACACCAGGTACTGTTTCCCAATACCTAATAGCATACCATGGCAGCCAGAACGATGGTACCTGTATTATTCTCTTCAGCAGTTACAATGTGTAAGGAGCTTTTCTGAGACTGTGCGGTGCTAAGTCCTGCAGGCTGATCTTTACACTTAAACGCTTTGTCTCTGCTTGGATGAGATCCTTAAGCATGTAAAGATCCCATGACACTGGTTATTTATTCTTGGACATGTGTGTTTTGTGAAATGAAGCTTACAATTTTTTTTTTTTTTTTGTAAATGTGTTTAAGCTATTTGAGAGTGTTTCACCTTAAGAGTTTCCACTCTAAAATCCCCATTTTTCATCAGGTAAAACCAAGGTCCATCCACAATATTCTGTTTCAGTATAAATAATAGAATAAAAAGCCTTGAGTATTTTCCCATAAGAAGAATAACAGCTTTTTAAGATTCCTTTTTTTAACAGGGATAGAACAATTAAAAGAATGAAAATTATTCTGAGATTTTTTTAATGAATTGTCAGCAATTTGTTGTCTTTTCAGAGTATTTACTTCAACAAATCATTGAAGATACTACTTATCAAATCATTAAAAATTACTTGTGAAACTCTGCTTTTTCCTTTGTAGTGGTAATTTGTCAAGAAGACCATATATAGAAGGAAGAGCATGCAGTCATTGTGCAAATGGGGACACCTGTGAAAATAAACTGTGTAGTAAGTAAAAGTAAATGTAAAACGCAGTGTGTAAGAGGAGAAAATAAAATGGCCTATTTGATAAAGAATGTTGCAAGCTTTATTTTACCCTTTGATGGTGTTGTCTTGTGTCCAATTCAGAAGTAATTTAAAAGTATCCTTAAGGCTATTTACATTCAGGAAACAAATAGTTAATATTTTACTGAATCTGGGCCTCAGTGACCATTATGAAGTCTCCATTTGATGGTAGACAGGTATAAGTCATGATTTCAGTTAAATGTATTACTCTTTCTGTTGCACTGGTATTGTACTGACTTTATTAATCATACCAAAGAAATCAGCATATAGCTATGTACTTTTCGGAGTAGCATTTAGCAGCAATTCTTGAGTAGTCGCATAGGCCTTCAGAAACAGCAGAGCTACTAAATAGTTACATTTGGAATGAAATCTCTAAATGGCAGTTACTGAGTCTGTTGTGACTGTTTCAGCCAGCCACAGCTAAATTACATTCAAACTTCAGTATAGCTGATGCTTATGTACTCTGGAAGCAGTCACAGTAACTGTGAGAAGGTCATTCCGGGTTTGTAATCCGTGCTGGAGTTGTAAGGCCCATTGTCTTTCCCACCTGGTTATATCTGTGTGAAAAGGGACTGCATACTGATTTAATTCTCTAGCTATGAAGTGTTTTCCCTATGGCGAATCAAATCCTTTCCTTAAACTAGGTAATTTTTTTAACTCTGTTCTTGTCAAGAAAATGAATTAGAGTCATGAATTGCTAAGTATGCATCACATTTTGATGGAGTGAAACGCGAAGAGACAGTAAGTCAACTGTCTTCAGAAAGCTCTTGACCTGACAACTTCCACCTGCTGGGAAGTCACAAGCAAGCAGTTTCCTGTGGCTAGTTAGGATGTGTGTTTTTAAGTTTCATTTAGTAAACTGGAAGTTGGGTTTATGGTTTCTGTCTAACAGGTAGTTACTATATTTCCTCAATATATGTTAGTCTAGCTTTAAAAACATTCAGCAGTCCTGTAGGTCTTTAATTTTTAGATAGCAGACACGTCTGAAAAACAGCTACACGGAATACCAGGTTGTAGTTGATCCCAGTATCAGGCCCCACTTAGGAATCAGTCTGTCTCACTTTCTCACCCATAAAATTGTATTTGATAGTACTTACTAGCTCATGTGTACATTGTGAATATTAATCAGTATTCAGTATTTTGAGAAAGACAAAGGAGAGGGTTCAAACGGAAAATAAAAGGGCTGTATAATGTGTCTCTTTCCCCATCCATGTCATTGTTATGCAGAGTAACAGGTTTATGGAGACATTACCACTATGAAGTATCAGTTTTCATTTTTACCACAACATTCTAGCTTTTATTTTAATTGTAAGGTTTATCAGTGGGAATTGTAAGGAATTTTTCAAATTCTACTGATTGTAAATCTGATGAGTTTGTTTTAGCTATTATTTTAGATAATATATTTATATTAAATATTTTATATTAAATAGATAATATTTTTAGCTAGTTAGATAAATTTTAGCTATTATTTTAGGTAACAAATTTTTGAGGAGGGAGAAATCATGACTAGCTGGTAAAACTGTTTATTTTACCTCTTTTTCCAGGAAATACAGAACGCGATAAACTTACCTGTACGTATTACAGTTTTCCACTGCTACTTATGTTCCCCAGTTACTTTAAATATATACTCCAAGTAAATCTTACATCTATATGCTTATTTATAGATTATTCAGGATGGCGACCTGCTTGGGAGTTCAGCATCACGTGCGATAAGGATTGTGTCAGTCTTGTGGTTTTGAGAATAGTACTGTTAGTTCTTGCTTTTGCCTGTGTTTATTTTATGAGAGACTACTTTAGAGACATGCCTATAAACACCTAATTGGATTTCAAATACATAATATCTTCTGAAGATACTTGCTAACGAAATAAGCAAAAAAGTCATACTGATGTAACGTTAATGACAACTTTCTTTGACAGTATTTTTGTTCCTATTATTTTATGCTCCTTAGAGAAAGCTAACATGCCAAAAAAAAAAAAAAAAATTGAAACTGTATGTGGGGAAAAACCCATATTGGGAAAATATTAAGCTAAAGATGGTATCTGGTAAGGTTTGGAGCAGCATTTTTAAATACAAGATTTCCCAAAACTGACATCCTTTATTCCTGCAATTCAAGGACAAACTGTGTGTCAGTTAAACAACTCTTACAATTCATACTAAGGCAGTCTTTGGAATCACAATTGCTTAATTTTGATGCTGAGAGAAAGCTAGCATCATATTATGTACTCAGGCCTGTTCCCTAGAGTGATAGAATGTTCTGAATAAAATACATAAGTAGGATTTTATAGAAGGATGGTTCTCTAGAAGTCTTGTTGTTTGTGAAGTTAACACAAGCAGATACTTACAATGCATTTATTGTTCCTTATTCAAAGTGTGACACTTCAGATTTATTATTACTTTGTTCTAACTCCCTCTAAACCTTGTGATTAATTTTATTTTTTTAATCCTCGTTTTAATGTGTACTGTTACTTATGCATAGCATATTTCCTGCTTTGTAAGTGTTCTGGAGTCTCAATAATAAATTATCTTGAAACTTGCTCAAGTCCATTTAATCATCAGATTTTACTCTTCTTTACTCTTCCAAGACATGAAATATTTCATTAATATGCTTTAATTTCACTTTTTCCAACCAAAGACAGATGGAATTTATACGAGAATCTGATACTTGTGTTTCTTACCAGTATAGCAAACTAGATTTTGTCCTGCTTGTATCTTAGTCTTACCTAATAAATGCCAATATGACTGCATGTAAGTTCATTATTATTAGGTAATGTTTCACCATTATTGTAAAACGAGCAAATAAAAAAACCTCACAAAGCCAAATTCTACTATTTTCTTACTGTTCAGAATTCAGATTGAGCTTAAAGGAGGCTTCCATGAGTTCACCTTTAGGAACAGTCACAAAGAAAATAAACTAGACTTTTGCTGTACATTAATTTAAAATTAGGTATGTGCTAACTATTTCTTCTGTAGGTTTTCTATTCTAACATTACTAAAACACAGAACAGACATTTCAAATACAAGTTCTATTATTTAAAACTTGGATTACATTTTAAAATCCAGAAGCCTAATACTATGTGCCTAAAACCATAAGTAGGTGGCTCCTACATAGAAAATTGTGCACTATTAAAGTTCCTGAGCAACAGCTATTGCCATTGCTTTACATGAACGTTGCTGATACTCACCATCTCTGGAGAGAAAATAATTATTTAGATGCAGTATTAGGCTTGAAAAACTCGCTTCAGAGCTGTATTTCAGACCTCTGTAAGTAAAAAAAGTTTCCTTAGTACCTGAAATACAAAATCTGGTGTTACAATAAAGCTCTTTCAGATTCTGAGGTGTTTAATATTGCACAGTTTCACAATACTGCTTTTTTACAATTGAAACCCCCTATTCATATTCAGTTACTAAAATATAAGTTTTCCTTCTTCTAGCTGTGACAAAGCTTAAACTAATATGTAACACTGTCATTCCTATCCCTGGTAATAACTCTTCTTGTCATTTAGTAATTTTATCACAGTTAGGACTTTAACAATCAGAGTTTGCCTTGGAGAGAAGGCAAAGTTGAGAGTTCTGCAGTCTCCTAAAGCTGTAAAAAAACACCTTGTTTTCCTTTAAAACCTCAGCCATATTTATGCCAGGCTGATAGTAGTCCTTTCATCTGACACAGTTCTTGTTTGTCCTGAGCTCAGCAATGTGGAATTTTCAACACAGAATGATGTGCAGGTGGTGATGCCATCAGATACTGTTCCAATAAATGAAGTAGTTTTCCATCCATTAAAGTATTTTTTCATTCTGCCTATTTGAACTTGTGATTCTCAGTGTTGGTTCTTGTGGTGTCCACACAAAATAGTTTGTCCCATTCCGCAATTTGGTGTCTTCGGGAGGAAATCTCAATGGCTGAGAAGATGGTTCAGAGATCCCTTTTGTAAAAACAGCATGGATGTGAACAGTTACAGCTTGATGGATCTTCTCTCAGGAGATTCCTGAACAATATTCTGTAATACTCCAATAGTATTGCAGTGGGTCTTGAACTTCCACACTTCTATACTGCTGCCATGCACCCACCATTTCTGATGTTACCATAGAATCCTAGAATGGTTTGGGTTAGAAGGGGCCTTAAAGTGCTACTAGTTCCAAACCCCCTGCCATGGGCAGGGACACCTTCCACTACACCAGGTTGCAAAGCCCCATCCAACCTGGCCTGGAATACTTCGAGGGAAAAGGGCCTTACTCACTTATTCTGTGAACAGAGACTTAGGATGCACATCAGAAAAGCTGCCTCATTTTTCAAATGCCTTAAATTTAAAAAGAAACAAATATGATAAATGATAGTAATTTAAGAAATTTAAATAACATATGAAGGCCAAGGAAGATAACCAGAGGTCCTATTCAGCTAGGCATATACTTGTACTCTGTAACAAGCTTCCTGTATCTATGTTGCTGAAATCATGCTAGATTGTTTGTCCTGCACAGCTTGTGGAAGCTTTGGCTTTATCAAAGAATCACAGAATGGTTGCTGTTGGAAGGGACTTCTGGAGGTCACTTGGTCTAACACTCCTGTTTGAACAGGGCCACTTTATACCTGGACCTGTCCAGACCCATGTCTGGATGGTTTCTGAGTGTCTCCAATGATGGAGACTGCAACCTCCCTGGGCAACCTGTGCCAGTGCTTGATCACTCTCACAGTAAGAACGTATTTCCTGAGACAAGAGGAAATCTGGTCAGAGGAAACCTCACGTATTCTAGTTTGTGCCCATTGCCTCTGGTCCTGTCACTGGGCACCACTGAAAAGAACCTAGCTCCATCTTTTGTACACCCTTCCCTCACGTATTTACATGGTTTAAGGGACTGCTGTGTTCCATGGCATTATTACTGTCTATCCACTTCACACTCTTTGGCAGACCTATTGCCAAAGGGAGGAGCCAGCCTTCAGTGAGTGCTTCCCACTTCCCTTATCCTTAGGCTGAGGGAAGGGAGTGATGTGGGTTGTCCTTGAGGGCATAGCCATCATAGCCATCTTGACTGGCAGGAGGTGGGCACCACGGAAAGCACCTTCCAACAACCTCATGTGCTTCAGTCCATGTGACATCCCAGTACTTTTTTGAGAGAACACTGAAAGCAGTGCAGTGTGATTTTGTTCAGTTAGGCCAAGGGGCATAGTTGCACTATGCAGCAGCACTATACAAATCCTCCTAACCAAAACTACAGTGAAACTACCTGCAGTCCATTTGCATGCTGATGGGCTCCCCTGTTAAATGTAAGGCTCTTCACAACCTCAATTAATACAGAATAATTGCAAGAATTTTTAGCTTTTAATAAACACAAAATAGTTTATTACAAAATAATTCCAGTACCACCACCATCCTTTCATTCGATCCGTTTACTGCCCTGAGGTGAGACTGTGTAATAGAAGTAGGAATGCTCATCAGAATATTATCCACAGATCTTGAAGGCCAAATGACCTCACAGCTGCCTAATCCTGTGGACAGAACAAGAAAGCTCAGCAGATCCACCCGTGTTTGATCAGCTGAACCTAGTAAGTCAAAAGACAAACAGATTCTCTCCCCAGCACAAGTAACAATGTGGGGAGGTTGATGATTTGAGGACAAAATTAAATGTGATTTTACAGATTCCCAGGCATCTTGGATACCTGTAATAGTCTGTTATCCACCAACCTGTAGTCCTCTGACTGAATCATAATTAGGGAAATCTAAATCTGAGGCCTTATTTTTTCCAGCCATTTTAAACTGAAAGCAGGTGCAAAGTGAGAAGGAGGGGTGTAAACATGGGGATCTTTTCAGTTACTGGGCTGTATGGCTCCCTGCCCATACCCAGCTCATTGTGCTCAATTTCACTTGAGATCTGTGCAGGGACAGGCAGCGTTTGTATTGTCCGGACAAATATAATGTAACACCCAAATCGCAAAGCTTAAGTTTCATCTGTTTGACAAGATCCACTGACTAATGCTGGCAAAGGGCTGGAACTCTTTTTCTGAAAACATTGTTTACAAATGCTTGAGGGCAGGCTGGGCTTCTGCTTTAATTATGGATAGAAGCACTAGGTGGAGCCAGAGCCAGCTCTTCATGGAAGTCTCCTGTAACCTGGGCTATCCTGGGTATGTCAAGATTTACTGCTTCATAAAGATCTCGGTTCAGCTTCCAAGCACAGAATTTCAACTGCACGCATATATAACTGCAGGATCACTGCATTGCTAAATTAATGGTGCAGTTTGAGTGCAAATTGCATGTGTTTGTAATATATAGTATATAGGTTTACATTACATCTAGCTGCCCAAAGGCTTTAGATTGTACGGCATTATTCGGAAAGAAAAAAGAAAGAGAAAACATAATTCCTAGTTTCAAGGTAATACTCAGCTGGAGAAAGAATAACTGGCAGTAAAATGAACTTGGTCCTGATCTAGAAAAGAGGCAAGGTGACTTTCAAAGGGAACAAAACTGCAGGCAGGCTTGTCTATGTTCAGTTTGGAAGGAGGGGAGAGGGATGTTCACCCTAATTATGTAAACTGTCATAATTTGATCTAAGTATCTTTCCATTACCTGGAGAGTGGCACATCCAGTGGCACCTGGAAGGTACCCTGTGGGCTTCAGGAGTGCACATGGTAGAATGGAGGGTCTTTGGTAACCCAGAAGCAAGCAGCTGACAAAACAACCTCTGTCCCCAGGTGATACAGAAGGCATTGGCAGCCACAGGAAGAAGCCTCCCTCCCGAGATCTGCTTCACCATCCCAGTTTGACCAGCCATCATCAACACCAGCAAGGGTCTGTCCTCCCGTACACTGAAAAATGTCCCACCACAGCTGAGGGCCCTGTCACTTCTGCCAGTGTCCAGACACAGTTTCTGGAATAAGCCATGACAGCAGAAGAGAACAGAAACTACATCTGGTAGGTCGAGGGACCTTGGCACTGTTAGCTGTACACCAGGAGGCAGAGTCAGCAGTTGGATCTAGTAAGTGCAGGTGAGATCATGACCATTGCATACATGTTGAGGCTGATGGAGCCACAGCCAACCACTGGTAGAGGAGCAGGTAAAGCAGTAGGAGCTAAAAGCCAGTGTAGCTGCTGCCTGGGGCTGGGGTTGTGTCAGAGTGAGTGCTTCACCCCCTACTTCTCTTTACTTGCCAAGGGAGGTGAGAGTTTGAGATGACTGGTAGTGCTGCAAGCATCTTTTTATCACATCATCAAGGACAGTACCTTGATGTACCAAAAGCTTCTTGTACCCAGCTTGCTGTGGCCACAGAGAAGGTGGCCAGTCTCCTCCCACTGACTGCTTCAGCTTGGTCTTTTTTAAACAAATAATTTATTAGAGAAAAAAAATGGTGACCTTACTGGGAGAGTTTCAAAATACAGGAAACTATTGTAAAAGAAAAGGGGAAGATAGTACTTTTCAGTTCCCTCTCTGTCCAGGTCTCTTGTGCCTGTAAGGACTGTTTATTGGTAAGGGCTGTGTTAAGCCTGTCCAACAAAAATAATTGGAAGTCCTCTCTTTGTTTCTCCCCCAAAAGATCCAAAGCACCAGGATCTCTTCCCCCCCCCAGCTCTTTTGCCTCCTACAGCTGTTCCTACCTTCATGAAAATGGTCAACAAATCACTGCAGGGCTATGAGGAGGGTGTGGAGAGTTAGTAATGCATGGTCATCCATAAACACATACACACAGAAATAATTCATTATATGCCTCCTGTTAATAGCCTGAATAGATGTAGCTGTGATGGTGCTGGAGGGCTACACATCCTTCAGCCTGCCTGAATAAGGTGTACAGACTGTTACAAGACTCTGTGAAGCAAATCAAGGTTATTATTTAACAGGGAAAAGCCATCATGCAACACCAGAATGATCATTTCCACAAGTGTTCAGCAGGATAAGACCTGACCTGCAAAACTGGGCAGAGAGTGAGACTCATGAATAGTTTGCAGTCTACAACACATTTTCTCTGTAAACCTACCTAAATCTGACTCACAAGACCTTATTTTAAAACATGGCTGTCCCTATGCTCTTGCATGTTTATACAGTTTGGTTTAGGTTTGAAAAAGCCTCAACCAGCTTGTAGAACAGTTGGTGAGACAATATAAATCCCAGCCCAGACCACCCTACTGCCCCAAGAAGCGATCAGTCCTGGAATGTTACACAGAAGTGCTAATCCTATAGCCATTCTCCAGGAGCACTGGAAGCTCCTCCAGTGATTTCAAGCAATCAGATAATGTCAGATAGAGCTATACTTTATGAAGCAATTTTGCTTCCTGTTAGTTTGACAGTTTCAAGTGCTTCCACACCCAGAGGACGCCCTCTGAGGAACTGCTTGCCAGTATTATCTCCACCTGATTTCTTTTAGAAACTTAAAAACAATATTGAAAGCATTGAAGAATTATGAAAATCACATTTTTCTTTGCTGCATTATTCTTACTGGATCTCTTTGCTTGCTGTCATGCTTATCTACAATATCCCTTGCCTGACATAGAAGATGCAAAGTTCATTGAAGACTGCGTGAGAGCTCACAACATGTTTCGGTCCAAAGTGAATCCACCAGCCAGCAACATGTTTCGCATGGTAAGGTGGTGTTCATGATCTGTTTGAAAATCAATAGAGATTGTGCTGCTGATTTAGCCCATTTTATTCTTTATTTGTTTTGTGCTCTTCTTTTTCACGTCTGCCAATGGCTTACCTACCATATATCTTAGTGCTTCATAAGAAATATAAGACATTCATTTTCACAGTATTGTTAAGTGTTAATAATTTGAAGGGAATTCCCTTTTTAGGGATGGATTGCTACTTTAAGCTTCAGAAGAAAAGACAGAACAAAGGGCTGTCTTGCAAAAAAAAAAAATGGTATTCAGTTCTCAGCATTTCATTTGCTTCTTTCTAAGAGAGATAGTAATCTGTTTTATGTTAGTCCAGGTTTCATACAGGGAAGCTGGTATTAAAGAGCTCCTGAATAAGCAACCAGCACAAAAGGATTTTTGAAAATTTAGCATCTCCTCTTGTTTGAATATGGTGAAGAAAGGAATTTGCCAGGACATCCATCTTGATACCTGCTTGTCATTTGCTGTAGCAGAGTTTGAAGAGTAGGGATATTAATATCTGGCTGGAAGACAGAGCTTCCTATAAATGCAATGAATAGTAGAACAGACTATGGATAAGTCTCAGCTTGTTTGATGGAATACATAAGGAAAAAGGTAGACAGGAGGCTGAAAGAGGTAGCCCCAGTCAGTTCATGTCATTCCTCTGAGCCCTCCAGTAGCATAGCTGCAAAGGAAGTTAAATGCATAACCACATGCACAGTATGAATCATTTCTATGAAAGGAAGTTCACAGAAAAGGGGTAGCTTGGACTACTTATTATTTTCATATTTGCCATTTTAAAAATCAGTGTTTCATTTAAAATGCTACTGCACAAGAACAGACTCAGCTGCTGAGACCAAAGATCCAACAAGCCTGGAATAGAAGCAAGATAAATATATAGAAACCTCTTAAATCAAAGGTATAGCATTGTACTTAAAAGCTCTTGATGGATTTTTCTTGTATGATTTTTTTTCAGCCTTGAGCTCATGCAAGCTTTTATCATCCCTATCATCGTGTAGCAGAGAGCTGCACAACCTAAGCACAAGATATGTGAAGATATCTCCTTCAATTTGACTTGACCTGTTCTTAGTTTCATTTGATAGTCTGGTCTTTGTATTGGAAGGAGCAACTAATTAACTGCTTATTTGCCTACTTCACACAAGCTGTCCATCTGTCTCTGATCAAAGCTGCAGAGCACTGTTTGTTGCTTTATGAAAGCCCTACATACTTGAGGATGATCATCACCCTGCATGTTCTCCCCGTCCTTTCCAGTTCTAGTGTCCATTTCTTAATGCACACAGCATTTAACAGGACTTCCCACAGTGGTGTAATTATATATCTGGTTTTATTTGCCACCCCTCCTCAAGGAATCCAACACTTCATTTGGTTTTTAGACTACTCCTTAATAGTGATTTACAAGTGGTAATAACCATCTCCAAACTTATCATTATGAACACAAAGTCAAAATTGTGCTTTTTTTTTTCCTCACACATCCCTTAACTTACTTTTTATATACTGAATTTTACATTTTTACCTGCAATGTTATTGCCTGGTCATTCAGTGGCATGAAGTCTTTCTGCAAGTCTCCCAGACTGGTTTCTCAAATTCTCACTGTACCACTCAGGGTAAGAATAATTCCTCCTCAACCCAGGAGACAGGAGTGAGCCTTTAATTTGTTTCGGCCACACTTCTCAATGAAGAGCGAAGAGGCAAAAGGGGCTGGGGAAGGGAGTGAGTTTTCTCAGCAGAATTCCTATCTGGTTTAGTGTTAAGGGGAAAGGGCTAGTCCCTGGACGCAAAGTCCTTCACACCCCTCTACAGCTGGGAGTTTCACCCAGTTACCTACTCTCAGGTGCAGCAGCTTACAGACTGCAGTCCAGCCCATATACCACAGGTCAGCGGATAGATCCTACATGTCCTGCAGTATCTAAGGAAGAAAGAAGAAAAAAAAATTGTTATGGAAGTAGGAATGTCAAGTCAGAGAAAGCAAGTGAATGCAGGGATGGGAAGTAGAAAAGGGGAAAAGAATCCTTACAAGTTTCTGTTTAAAAATGTTTGAATTCAGCTAAGTCACTGCTGTGCATGTTATATTATGGGCGTTTTTTTCCTTTTCTCCAGTCCTGGGACACTGCTTTAGCTAAGACTGCCAAAGCATGGGCAAAGAAGTGCAAGTTTAAGCACAACATTTACCTTAAAATGCCTGGGAGGGTGCACCCCACCTTTACCCCTGTTGGAGAAAACATCTGGACTGGCACAGCCACCATTTTCTCTGTGGATGCAGCTCTCAGCGACTGGTTTAACGAAGTCAGCAGCTATGATTTTGACAGCAACAGGTGCACTGGCATGTGTGGTCACTACACCCAGGTAAGTCTTATATGCCCAATGATTTATAATCTCATGATTACACAGATAATCCAAGTACAGGCATGGAACAGACTGGAAAGGAATTACAGCAAGATTTTACAACCCCTGATTTATTGCTGAATGAGATTGGAAATAAATATTCCAAGTCCCAGGAATGTCCAAGTCCTATTTCCTGTATGGTGAAAGGGATTATCCCATGACAATTTCATGTTTCCAGGGGAGCCAGATAAGAAATGGAAAAGCATTTATCATTCAGTCGTTTGTCTCAGCTGCTGTTCGGGTTGTTGATGTTGCCCTTGTGTCAGCTGTTTTGAGTTTCCACGAGATCCTCCCCTTCTCCTTCCTCCCTTAATGCTGCTGTATGTTCAGTCTTTGAATGGGTGCATTACATTTCTCTTTGCCTTTCAGGTTGTTTGGGCAGACAGTTACAAAGTTGGCTGTGCAGTTCACTTCTGCGATACAGTTGAAAATTTTCCAAGACTTTCCAGAGCAGCACATTTTGTTTGTGACTATGGGCCAGCGTAAGTTACTTGTTACATTATCATTATTGCTATTGTTATTGTTAGTATTATTAAAATATCCGAGAACTGACCCGGTATCAGGTGGAACAATGATGGGAGCAGCTGTAACAAACTTGAGAAGATGCCATCAGTTCAAGGGAAGCTTCCCCCAGCCATTGAGAGCAGGAGCTGCTGGGTATAGCCACAGCTGCAGAAAATCCCTTTCTAAAAAGGCAGGAGCGCAGAACATAGCTGAGAGCACTCACCATAACCCAGATGGTGGAACAAAATCAGTTCAGTCTCTGCAGGAAAAGGTGCAAGCTTTCCGCTTCAGCAAGATTACATCTTTCTGTGGCCCCACCCAAGCTTCAAACAAGACATTTCAGTTGAAGAAATCAGTCAGTCTTCTCGTTTATCTCATACCCTGCAATTTCTGCGCTTACCTTTTACATATTTGCTTTTAAAATACAGCCGGGAAAGGAGGGACTAGAGGCAGACTGTTGTGTGCTTACAGTGAATAATACGGTACTTCCTGAGAAGTCTCATTAATTTCAAGAGGCACCAGGGAGCTGCTCCCCATGCCAGTGAGAGCTTTATTCTGATCTAAAAGAATTTCAAACAATTGCAGTGATCAGGTTTCGCATAAAGGGATTTCCTCCCCCCATAATAGCTGGTCATGAAAAATTAACAGTCTGATGAAACCATGTATTTAAATTGCTTTCAAATGGCTGAGCTAGCAAAATACTGTTTTTCTGCTTTGCAGGGGGAATTACCCAAGAAAACCATATAAAGTAGGGCAACCATGCAGTGGATGCAGCAGCGATAAGTGTGTAGACAAGCTCTGTGGTAAGACCAAAGTGATCAACTAAGAAAGTTGAATAGAAATAAAAGTGGCATAATTATGAGTGGAAATATGACGATGAGATGATTTGTAGTAAGTACATAGTGGGTCTGCAGCACAGCACAGAACAGCTGTACCAAACCCTGGTAAGAATAGTATAAGAAGGAATGAATTGAAGTACTTCTCTGTTGAAGGCTCTTAGAGGTAGAAACCAAAGTTTCTGATGAAAGGAATCAGGTAGACTGCTGCCTGCCTTTTATCTGATCAGGACGTCAAAGCTAAAACTCTAGCCCTGACAAATATCCCCTTATATTAAATATAAATTGTATATTTAACTTCTGCTTTCTTGCTTGTTTAGTTTGTCCTGTCACGTTTTCCAGGAGATTATAGTTCTGAATCAATGACAACACTATACTGAAAAGCGCACTTATTTCTAACTTCTGCAATATTCTGAACTATAGCAGTGAGAGCTTGTTTTTCCACAGCAGTTTGCAGCTGTGGACCTTTATGTCATTACACCTAGTCCCAGACTAGTCAGAAATAGTGTTTTAAATAAACAGAGATTAAAGGACATGCAACAATGTCTGAAATCAAATATGAATTCTATACAGAGGTTTAATAAGGATGGTCTCTACAATTCAGGCTCCAAATAGCTTCAACTGTAGAAATAATTGAGCATTTGGTACTCATATTTCCTTCTGTGATATCCTGGCTGACTCATCTTGAGGTCTCAGACTGATGCATCACAGGAAAACTAGGAACATCTCAAAGACTAGGGGGAGTGTGAGGAGGAAGAGAGCTCCTACAACCCATTTTGCCATGTTCTCCTATAAGGCAAATCAGCAGTCCCGATAGGATGCACATAGGCAATCCTGCAAATACATCAAAGCTCTTAGTAAAGGTGTACTTTTGTGAAAAACCTAGTAGTTATATTTGTCTGTAACTATTTAAATTTGGTTTATCAATTTTACATAAATTCCATGGTTTGTTTTTATTTGCTATTCCCTCCTTCCCATGACACAAATTCTTCCTGACACAGCTGCCTCTTTCCTGCATCTCTTGTAATTTAATGAAAAATAAGAGCCCCATGCCAGCCAGGAGCCTGCTCTTGTTGGCATGCTTCCTCCTTGAAGGATGTTTTAGGCACTAACTGGCATCATCACTGCAGTGAGCCAGGCACTAGCAATGGCTTACTCTTTACATTAAGAGCCACCACCTAGCAATACTCACATTCATTTCCTCTTCTGATCTCTTTTCAGCAAATACAGAACGTGAGAAGCTGATAAGTACGTATCAAGTTGTTCTTAATTGCTTTCCTGTAAGTATGGCTAAGTTTGATGAGTCTTAATGCCTGTTTCTTCACTGTTTTAGATTATGCCTACTGGCATCCGGACTGGGATACACAGCCCCAGCCGCCACGGCCCCGGCCCCCCAGGCCTCCAGCACCACCCCACATCCCACCTGCTGAGCAGCCGCATCCCTCTTGTGACCAATACTGTCTTTGTGTTTCGATTTTAAGACCACTGTTTTTGGTACTGAGTACTGGTGCTGTTCTTTTAGTACAAAAGTGGTTTCCACATACGTTTTTTAATGAGTAATGATCAATTAAGGTACTAATAGTGAAATTACTGTTCTATATCACTCTCAGAGAATTGCACACATATAAAAAAAACACTTGGTCATCTCTCCATTATCCTAATGATATTTATCCACCATAGAAAAGGCTGCTTCTCCACTGAAGGCAGAGTTAGCATAATTTATTGGCAGTAGCTTCTATGCTATGCTTCTGTGTCTGTACAAGCCATTTATATCTGGTTCAGGAGTAGATTGCTAGAGGGACCACAGAGACTATATATTACTATACATGCTAACAAGCCTCCTGGAAACCTGGGGCATCACAAAGACATGTCTGAAGTGGCAGACTGTATCAAAAAGAAGCAATAACTCATCTCCATTAACCTTAAATTATCCCAAACATTGTTTTCCCCAGATCATGGAGATCTAACTATATGTATTACTTATGAACAGAAGGAGTAAAGCTTGTCTTTTACTATGTTTAGCCTATGTGTATATATCAGTCTTCATTAAAGTTACTCTATTGTCAGGTGTACTATTCTGTTCCCCTCCTCCTGGAGTTAAGCTCTGTCCTCCATAGCTACAATACCAGGGGAAGTTGAGAGAACAAGGACTAAGATGGGGTGTTAATGGGGAGAGCTTAATTTTAGGATGTGAGATGGTGACAAAATCTGAAATACAAAATCTGGATGACAGCCATGCTGAGCTTGCAGACAGGGAAGGTGGGGGAGCAGGGAGGAAAAACAACAGGGGGGAGATGAAATAGGCCCAGGACAGCCTCTGGTTCAGAAATGGGAGATCTCAGCCTCATTAAAAAAGACCAGACTGTTGAGTGATAGATTCATTTTGGATTTAGAGACATTTTACTTTCAACCCCTATCATTCCTGTATACATTTGCTAGTAAGGGAAACACACCTGTTTTTCAAGCTAAGAGATGCTGGCTGGTACTAGCAATGCATAACTCTGCTATCAGTATTTAAAGCTATACATATTTAATTTCACAACTCTCAGTTCCTGTCTGCTGCCATCTTTTATATGTACCAACAGCGAATTGGCTGGGGTTGGGAAAGTGTTTGGGAGGGGGCATGGCTGGGATGGCAGACCTGAATTCTCTGAAGGGATATTCTATGCCATATAACACTGTGTTTAGAACCAAGCAAACAAACAAAACAACCACCACACACACACACAGCAAAATCTGCCATAGAGAAAGAAGAAATGTGGAGGGCTGGCTTCCAGGGTGTCCACTGCTCAGAGACTATCTGGGCATCAGTCTGCCTTTGGGGGGTGTGAGTGATTTCCTGAACATCACCTGGTGGGATTTGTTTGCTTGTTTCCTGCCTCCTCTTTCCACACTCATTAAACTGTCTTTATCCTGCCCCATGAATATTCTCACTTTTCTTCCTCTTTTCTACCCCCATCCTTCTGGGAAGAGGGGAGTGAGTGAATGGCTGTGTGGGTGCTTGGCTGCTGACAGGGGTCAACACACCACATCATTCAGCTCTAAAAAGGGGTGTGTAGGGGAGATGCGAACAAAGTGTTTCTCATCCGTGATTCCCTCAGAGAGTATTTTCATCTGTAATGAGTCTCCCCAGGAACAGCAGGCAGTGTGTGACACACAGGACCTAATGTGTGCTGAATGTGGCCTTGCCACCAGCCCCAGCCCCCAGGAATGCATGTGCAGAAGTGATAGCTGGGACCTGCACCCAGGTGTTCAAAGGTGTTCCTTAGATGAACCTGAAGTGAAAAGAACTACAACCTCATTCCCACAGAGATGTACAGGTTGGGACGGTGGGAAGGGGCCTGAGCTTGATGGACAGGTGATAGTCAAGGGCAGTGTAAAGAAGAAGAGGAGAGGGGGGGGGGGTGCGTGGTGGGTCTGAGCAGGGACTGTTGGGCACCTGAGGTAACATGCATGGGACATTGGCTCCCAACTCCTGGCTGTGAAACCCAGTGTGGGTACTGGGCACCCAGCACAAGACAGCACCAACTTTCACAGCATCCAACTCAGCTGGGGACTTGGGTTACAGGAAACTAATTACGAATTGCTGAAGCTTGATAGCACATGGCACAAGGATGTGATCACAGGACAAACCCATCAGTAAGTGCAGCATATTTAAACTGTGGTTCTCAGCCAAACATACCCCTCCAATAACTCCATGTACAACAAAAGTGACTATTCATACTGTAGTAAAAGTTCAGTTATTTCTCATAGCATTTTTCATAAGAGTAACAGCCGTAACAGCAATTCTATTTTAATGAAAAGCAGAAAATTTATCCAAAACTCTCCAAACTCCATAATGATTGCTACAGATGGGATGTTAGGAGCAAATAAAACAAAAACAAGCCCAGAAGACAGGACAGAAGCTTACCCATCACAGCTGAAGAAAGAAGAAAGAAAAGAGAGACAAAGCTGCCACAGCTCTGATGTGAACTTGTAGCTTAATTTCCTCATTCTTGCAGCAGTGCTGGTGAAATGTGACTCATTTCCTGCAACAAAGCCATATTCAATTACCATGGCTAAGATAAGTCCAGCCCACAAGCCATCCAAGCAAAACGCTGCTGTGGGGCTAAAACCACCTCTGAAGCATTCTGCTCTTAAAGCTGGACAGACCAGAGACTGAGCATCATGACAAGCAGATTTTCTGCTTGTGTGCTGGCTTTGCTGCACTTCTGTCTTTCCTCTGACTCATACGGACCACAGACATTGCCTGATGTTGGAGATGCAGAGTTTATTAAGGAATGTGTGCAAACCCATAACAGATTCCGGTCCGGCGTGAATCCATCGGCCAGCAACATGCTCTACATGGTAAGGAGATCTTCATGACTTACATGCAAGTGTGTAGCATTGTGATTGTGCTTACACTTCTTAAAGCAACCTCCTGGGATCATAGAGCTCATACATCATAGAACCATAGATCATAAAAAGAAGCACTGCTTCTTTTTAAAGCAGAGAAAAAGGCTCTGATTATCAGGTGGTTTTATGCACTCGGGTTTGTGTATAATTTTGCCTGGATTAATTTCCTCATTTGAAACCCAAGATTTCAACCCTCAGTGTTTTGTACTGTGAAAAGCCTCGACAGCCCATGGTGTAATTTATGTGCAGACTTAAGCACAACCTTTCATACTTGAGTCAGCATGGGCACAGACTGTTGCCAAAAAGTCTCTTGGAGAGCTTTCTTTAAGCTTTCCTTGCAAGGCTCTCACGGGCTGAGCTAATGGAGCAGCTGTTCCTAGGTACTGGGGCTGCAGGGGAAGCGAAAAAGCAACATACATCAGGAGTAAGTGCTGGAGGCATCAGGTCCCACATCGCTCTACAACCCTGCCTTCTCCCTGTCCACATCAGGAGGCAGTATCTGCAGCCACCATGCAAAAAATAGCCTGTTGTAATTCAAAATACACCCAAAAGTGGCCACCTCTCATGTCAGAGGGCTCGTGACACTTGTCTCCCTGATGGGTGGCACATAGAAAAGCCAGCAAGGAGGAAGCTGTGTGCATAAAGCTAGGCTTATGGCTGAAGCCCGGCTCTGATTTGTGAGATGTTACATTCCAGTAGCTTGGGAGTTGCCTCTTGCAACATCCATCACCTTTTGTGTTTTGACTGGGTAATACCTGAGATTTCTGTGTTTCTCCTTGGGATAATCACAGATCTCTCAGATGGACCATAGCAATTGTCCCTGCCCATGGCAGGGGGCTTGGAAGCGGATGATCTTCAAGGTTGCTTCTAACCTCAACCATTCTATGGTTCTATGATTCTGTGGCTGTCCTAATTCTGATCTCTTTCATTCTGTTCCTCTTCCTTGCTATCTCGCATGGTCACCACCAGAAGAGGACATAACCACATCTGTAATTAGCAACACCCCAACCAAAGTTAAAGCTCATTTACCATTTCTGGTTGTCAAACACTAACAAAGAAGTGCCCATTGGGGAGGGGTAACTGAGCAGTGAGCAGGCTCCAGTTGCAAGCCTGACAGGAAACAATTCCGTTTCTTTTCTAGATGTATCTTTTACTTCAGCTTTCTTCTGCTGGGCGTCCTGAACTCCCAGTACATATAGCTCCACACTCAGTTTTCTGGATTGCTTTACTAGCCCTGTACTAACAAAATCTTGCTAGGATGTAAGGATGTATTAAAAAAGCAATAGTCATATTTTTAAATTATGCCTAATTTTTCCTTTTGAAAAATTAAAGAACTGAAATCTGAAAAAAATAGCAAGAAAAAAAGCTTCAACAAATGAAGATTATTACAAGTAAAATAAGAAATCATGGTAAGTTTCTTTTAAACTGCAACCCCCCCGCCCCCAATCTTAATTATGACCTCTCCCAGGAAGAATTTAACATGGAGAAAGTGGCATAATACATGATAAAATCTGTTACAAAAGTAAAAGCATTGGAATTGAAAACAGCAGATTTCTTCATTTTTGAGTGGCCTTTAGCACTTCAAAAATGAAAAGAAGACGTCTCTCTTTCACAGGGAACTTCTATTTGCTGCCGATAACTGTCCACCTAGATGTATAAAAATGAAGCCTTTCCATGTGAACTCAAAGCATTTCCATCTTGTGGAAAAACAGTTTTTAAAAGAAAATACAGGACAGAAACCCCTTTAACTGCAAGTAACAAAGCCCAACCATCTGTATTTGTAATACATTTATTATGAGAATGCTGATCTGACTTTTTTTTACCTGACCAGTGTTACCCCTTTCCCATTCACCCAAAGCATTGCTTAGGTCTGTTCCAAGGCTCATCAAAATCAGCACAAAGAGTCTCACCAGTTTCATTAGGGCTTCACTACAGTCTCCTTTGAGAGATGCCTCACATCGCTTTTCACACATTCAATTTTCCCTGCCTAATTCAAAAGGGAGCTCACCTGAGTTATACAACCAAAACTGAGAAATAATTCATTAGAAGAAAAACCTGTAATTACTATTTTCTTAAATAGCAATGATATCTGTATGCAGACCTCCCTGTTCTGTGCATCAGTTTAGTCCTATCTTTTTGCATAAATGAAGTTTCATAAGCAGAGTTAAACTAAAGATCACCCTGAAGTATCAGTTTCTGCACACTGCTTTTTCAACTCTCAGCCACTTTAAGCATTCACTCAGAAAAGTACATTTAAACTTACTAACTTACCTTTAAAATTATTATTAACCAATAATAACTAACTTTTCCTTAGTCATTGTTACTGATCCATTCAAAGCAATTTCTCCAGTCATTCTATTGTTTGCAGAAGCAAGGGAGATATTTTGATCCATATAGAAAAGGAGAAATAAAAAAGGTGTCTTTTAAAGTCCAACCTAAAACAGTTCAGCAGTGCTGAACAACTTCATTTACAAGACACAAATTGCAACAAGAGCTACGGACGTGCACTTGTGGAACTGCATTTTCCAGGAGACACAATTCTGTATTTGCTCAATCAAGTTGTGCGTACAAGAAAACACAGCAAAACCAGACACCACCTCCAATGCAAACAAAAGACACTTACATAATTCAATTGCTTAAATGGGCACTTTCTGTAGGATTGAATAGCAAGTGAATTAGTCATTCCACAAGTATGAATTCATCACTAACATTTGAAGCCACTGAACACAAAGATGCAAACCAAGGGGCTGAGTTTAAACTGTCTCAAAAATACACGTGTGCTTGTGAACTGACCTGAAAGCAATAGCCTTAATGCATGAGGCTGCATGAGACTCCAGTCTGATTGGTGGTAAGCATACACCCCAATCTCCAGATGTCCTGTAAATTCACTGTTTAAATTACATTAACATTCCCTCATGGTCAGCACAGCCTGGAAATGCACATTGCACCCCAAACACTGTATTTGACTGATGTACAGTTCTTGGCATCCAACAAACCAGTCAGCCAAGATCACCCATCACCCCAAAAACTTCTGCAAGTTTAATGAGTAAGTTCAAGTCAGAAATTAACTACAAGACAATTTGGCATGTAGCTCTGGAAGTCTCAGCAGAGACAAAACCAAATGAACCCGAAGCATACACGCTACTGAGAGCCAGCTTCTCCTGAAAGTTGCTCTGAATTACCACACTGCTAAGGTACCAAATGATTTTCAGTTGTCTTTATTTTGCAGAGTTGGGATCCAGATTTGGCAAAGACTGCAAAAGCTTGGGCAAAGAAGTGCCTGTTTGAACATAATACGCACCTGAAAGAGCCAGGGCAGGCTCACCCCAAGTTTAGCCCCGTTGGAGAAAACCTCTGGACTGGCTCACTTTCTATTTTTACTGTGCAAGGAGCCATCACCTCTTGGTACAACGAGGTCAGTGCCTACACTTATGCCACCAATAAATGCAGAGGAGCATGCGGCCACTATACACAGGTAGGTATTGCACTTCTCTATCTAAACCAGGAACCAGTGTTGCCATTTTGACAAAGAAACTCTCAATTTCTGTTGAAGAGGCAATGAATTGTTTTCCATGTGCTGTAGTCTTGTGTTAAATCTGATATTCTCACAAGATCCTCTCACGTCCCCATTTTAGGGGGGAAAAGAGTCACTGTATTATTATTATTATTTTCAATACGACAGTTGTATTTTGTTTCCAGGAAGAAAACAGGTCAGCCGTCAAGCAGTCAGATTTAGCCAAGCAGTGGCCAAACAACAGGCAACAGCAATGGCTGTGGGCTGCAATGCATGGGGGGATGAGGTCCCAGCTCTGGCAGGCAGCCTTTACATGCCAAGGGCTGGGGAAATACCAGCATGTAGAGTGCTCTGCAAGCATCACATGCACACTTTTCCCAACCATGATTCCCAAAGAAAGAGGACAGGTGAGGGAGAGGAGTGCCCTGCCATGCAGCCCTGCAATCTCTAACCATGACTATGGGAAAGCAGGACAGCTTGCAACAGTGGCTCTGGGGATTAGATTTATACCTGAGGCTATTTAATACTTTCTGCAGAGACACACATACACATTTAGTACTTGAAGAGATGAGCCAGTGGGGTGGCTGAACAACACATGCACGTACTTGCATGCAGAGAAGGTATGTGGATGCAGGAGACGTGACTGTGTTGCTTTTAACCTTGCTCACAAGGACAAGGCAAGATTGAGCATCTGGAAACTCCTGTGAAAGGCAGCTTACCTGCACTAAGGCCCCGGGCTGTTTACCATGTTGTTTGTAGAGGAGCAGCCCAAGTGGTTGCATGGGTGAGAATGAGAAAGTAGGGTTATTCTCACTTGGAGTCAGCGGTACAGTGACTGTAGCCAGAAGCTGTGTCTACCAGCTTTGGGAGGCATCCTTGGGTCCACATTTCCAGGGAACCCCTCTTTTCTCTCCCTTCTTCCCAGCTGTGGCAAAGAGGAGTTTCTCTCGGGTACAATTACTGTAGTTACCATAAACACTTGCTCAGCATATGCCTCAGCTGGTAGCCGCTTGGGATGGGGAGGGTCAATCACAGTCCTCAGGGATGTAGATGTCTATGGCTGACGCCAAGGGCAGCCTCTGCTCTGCCACTGCACTGAGAACACCCTCAGGAGCCTGAGGATTGTTCCTTTTTCCCAGAGCTGGCACCAAAAAGGCACAAACAGAAAGGCCAGGCCACCCCTTTGAGTCAGTGGAGACATGAGCATGTGTCTTCATCTCTTTGTGCTGCCAGGATCTCTCTACATCTCAGTCATTGCTGCTGTTGTATCATCCTCAGGTACGGCTGTGCCCTCGTCTCCCCTCTGCTTCATGGGGTTTTTGTCTCCAGGACTGCAATATTTGGTTGCACTGTAATCTTTGAGTTGGGTATAGGATGCTGAATTGAACTGCCCAGCTTCTGGTAGACAGAGGATTGCTAGATGATGCCTCTAGATTATTTTAGTCATTGCTGTGATGCTGAAACGCAGGTCTACAGCCCTGACATGCAGCGCCTCCTGCTCCTCCCATAACATCAGTGTCTTCCACCAATTTGCATATATGTCCCCACTGGATTTAGCACAGGGGCAATCACCTCTTTTTTGAACTATAGCAGATCACACAGCCTTTCTGCACAGATTTGATCTGATCTCCCACAGCAGGAAAGACAGAAAACTGATGGATTACCTTGAAGCAAAGGAGACAAATTTCACCTTCTCCTTTGGAAGAAAGGAAAACTGCCTGTTACAGTTATTCTTCCTTTCAGACTCATTTTAACAATATCTAGCAAATAGGGCAAAACAATCAGGCATTTTTCAGAACAAGCTGTGATTTCAAGATCCATCACTGCTGCTTTTCCCCATGAAGCCTGCCCAAGGAGTGCTCCTCAGCTGATTCACTGTGACACAGAGGAAGGCAAGTCATTTCCAGAAAGCTTCAGATGCTGAAGCAAAGCCTTTGTGACCAGTGTACCATCTGTCTTTGCAGATTGTTTGGGCTACAAGCTACAAGGTTGGCTGTGCTGTCCACTTCTGTCCCAGGGTGGCATACTCCTCCATAACCAACGCAGCACACTTCATCTGCAACTACGGGCCAGCGTAAGGTTTTCATTACGAATACCATTTCACAGGGCTTGGGTTCTTGGGTCCTGCCCCTTCCCTCCCACAACATGCAACTTTATTAGATCAGTCCATCTATTCATGTCTTTTGTGGTAGGAAATGGTCCCCAAAATAGGGAAAGAGGTACATCTCTATCCAACCAGCTTTTTCTTTGTTGGTTGAGGGCCATATATTGGAGCAAAAAAAGCAGTGGCACTGGTAGAAGGGGTTAAATATAAGATGCTGACATGAAAATACTGAATTAATCAGTTGAAAATGAATCTCTTGTTCTTGAGTGCCAAGATGGCCCCAGACAGATTGTATCAGCTAAGGTGCAAGCCAAATGTCTGAAAACATTTCCACATGCACCTGCAGAATGAAGCCTCTGGGTCAATGGTTTGGATACATATTGAAGAGTGCAATGCTTCCAGCTGCTGTCTTAGCAGCTGAGGGCTGGGACTTCTCCAGGCAAAATCTTATCCAGAGGTCCTTCATATGCATAGTCAGCAGGCTACCCAGCCGGGGTGGTAGCTGGTGCCACTCGTGCTGCTGGCAGAGGTGGGAAGCAGGGGAAGACGTGCATCTCTCATAAAAATATTTACCAACAAATGGATGAAATCAATACCTATGAAAGATTCTCCAGCACCAGAGATTCCTCTTCAAGGTTGAATACTCACATACACAGGTAACTAAACCTGCTTTTGTTCCCATAGCCAGAGTCAGCTCTGAGAGCCTGCAGTCTCTACACATAAATCACCCACCTTTTAGTCTGTTTTAACCCCCAGGTTTGCAATACTGCTGTCTCCAGGTTCTGAAATGACAGGGTGCCCCATTACACTTAACCTTTTCTGCTTTACTGCATGTCTTGTGCAGTCACAAGGGAAGCAAAACCCAGGTTAAAACTAATTAGTGGTAGGTGCTCACACTTTTCTCCCAAGGGCAGTTTGAAAGCAGTGTTTCTTTCCTTTGTAGTGGGAATTACCCAGTGCGCCCATACAAGACAGGAGCAGCATGCAGTGACTGCAATGGCGAGCAGTGCATTAACCAGCTGTGTCGTAAGTAGAGGACAACCAGCCCTCCTCCCCAAGCACACGTAGAAAGGGAAAGAGCACACAAAAAGATACTGGCAGGAGGCAGGCACAGTGCCCTCTTCATCCTAAAGATAGCCTGGAAAACTGCAGTCAGAAGCCAACCGAGCAGTGATGCACAAAGAGACAGGAGAACACTGGCAAGATCCTGTTTTCTACCCCAGGGAGTGACAGGATGGGGTATGCTTTTTGCGTGCTGGAGAGTATGCTACAGGAGATAGAATAGCTGCAGTTTAAGATGTTATTACTCCGCAAAAAGTTACTGCCTGCAGAAATGGGAATCACAGAAAGGGATACACATCCCCTCCTAGGGGCTCCAGGTTATTATGTGGTGCATGAGCTGTGGCTTGAGCTGGTGCAAGTCCAGGCAAGCCTTGCCCCTACTGTGCGACTGTGGGAGGGAGGAGCTGCCATGGTACTGGCAAAGCTGCTTGCTCCAGTGAACATCAGCCTGGCCATCTGCTTTCCCCTAAGCACCAGGAGAGAGCCAGGGTGACATGCCCTTCATGGGACACGGTGCTCAGCCCGAGTCCCTAGCAGACCACCTGAAACTCCTCCAGTTGGCTCTGCGATGGCTGGAGTCAGGAGGGGAGAAGACCTTCTGCAATACCCGCAGAGTCAAGGCACTGTGCTGTGGACATCTGATTGAGAGAGCCGAGGGTAGGTTCGAGTCACACATTTCCCAGTAGTTGACCTCAGGTGAACTAACAGAGTGGGAAGGTGACATTAAAACACCAGCACTGCAGGAATGAGGGGGAGTCCCTGACGCATGGGGCTGTTGAATGTTAGCTGCAGGTTGAGGATCTTACATACAAAGCACTGGCCAAAAGGCAAAGAGATCCTGGGAAGCACACCCTGGGGAGTGAGTTTTCTCTAGGCCAGACAGTGGTGGGAGAAGTCAGCATAGTGTGATCAAGTGCTCCTCAGCAAAGCCTGGGAGCCATTGCAGGCTCTCACAAAGTCACTGGGTTTTTGCTTCTTCCTGGAAATAAGCACAGCTCCCACAGCTGTTTTGTGAGGCCGTCCTGATGTTCACATTTCATTCCCTGTTTAGGCTCAAATTGGTTTTAATGTGTACGTTTGCTTACGTTCACTTCTTTTCTCTCTCCAGGAAATGCAGAGCGTGACAAAGTCATTAGTAAGTACCCCCAGAATTATTACTTCCAAGTGTTGTCCTTGGTACAGTTATACTTGAAAACAAGTAACTTGTTTTGTCCATAGGTGATTCCAAGTGGTATCCAGAGTGGGACAGATCTCCATGTGATGAGTACTGTATCATCATTATTGCTTTAAGGCCATTACTCCTTATACTGACAATTCTGGCCACCTGGCTCCTACCAAAATACTGGTCTGTAATACCTGCCAGTGAGTGACACAGGCAGAAGGCGACAAGAGTACTTGGGTCAACTCATCCCTTCCATGCACATAAGTTACCAGCAGCACAAAGATTGATAGAGACATTGTTTGCCTCCAAAGGTGATTCAGAGGTACAGAATTAGCACCTTTGCTGCAGGCAGCAGCTGGGAGAGCTGATAAGCAGCTTTCTCACTGTTCAGAGCCAGTAACTGGTTTTAAATCACTCATGTATTTAGTGGAGTGGTGTGAACAGGACCCGGTGGGTGGGGGAGCACACTGCCCAGGCAGCACACTGAGGCACAGGCAGGTGTCCAACACGCTCTCTTAGAGACGGCTGGAGGGTGCCCAGGCCAGGAGCCTGGCCCCAGGCAGAACTCTCCCCTCTCTCATTCCTCTTGTCCTCTTTTCTTGGATGTTCCTCCAGCAAGATGCAGAGCAGCCTGGAAAGGTTTTTATTTATACTTATTTTTAAGGACTTTTTGGACCTTTGGGAGCTCTGGCATTTGCATCCTGGAGCAGGCAATGTATTTCCCATTTGCCCTGCACTGGGGCCACTGAATTATCTTTGCTTAGGATTTGGTTTTAAACACGTCATCTGTGCCAAGATACAGTTTCACCTGTGTTTACATATGATTAGATATCACTATCATTAGATATCTTTCCTGGTCTTTTTTTTTTTCTGATCATAGTTTTTCACTGCTGTTTCAAACAATAAATCATTATTTTCCTGCTTCCCATGTATGGCAATTGTGTATTTGCAACATGAGCTAAAGCTTAACTGCTGGTGCATAAAATAAAACACATTCACCTCCAACCTGCACAATGCTGAGAAACACAATGCTGGGAAAGATGGCATAGAATCACAGACTGGATTGGGTTGGAAGGGAACTTAAAGATCATCTAGTTCCAACCCCCCTGCCATGGCATAAAACAAATAAAATCATGCTGTCCCTTTAGTCACACCTTTTGTTCAACAGCTGCCAAGGAATGGGTCTCCTGGAAGCCACACATCTGGAAAAGGCAGAAAGCAGTGAGGACAGTGACTGTGTTCAGCTGGGCATGTCTCTACTAGCTGTAGGAAGGGTGGAAGTAGCAGAGCTGCACAACCTCACAGGTGGACCGTAGTGATCCGTGTCTACACATTTAGATGCTTTTGCAGCATGCCCCTGTGCAGGAAACAGACTTGCTCTGCTGTAAAGGAAGCCAAAAATTCCCTTGCCACTTCCTGTCTGGGGTACTGCCCTGGCATGTACCTGTCAGCGTTTCTGCACATCCACTCCTGAGCGAACCACTGGGGTGGATCTTAACTGAAAACACTGGAACTGGGCCCCAATTTTTCTCACATTATTCTTCCAGGTTAACGGCTTGCACTAGAACCATCTCAGCATCACAGCATTCCCTGAACACGCCATTTTTCAAAATGCAAATACAGCTGGGGAAAAACATTACAAATGTTGCCCTTCATATATCTTTATATTTGGGTTGCTAGCTACCAGAGCCTCCATAGACAAGACATCACAGTTTCAGACAGATGAGCAGTTTCTTTTCCACACTCCGGTGACCATGGTAGCAGTACCCATAATGACCTACCTGTGAGAGAGCCAAGCTCAGTTTTGACTTCCAAACTGGGCAGATTAAGATTTAAAAAAAAAAAAAAAAACATTGCAAAAGTAAGAACATGGGTATATCTCTTAAAAAGAGCAGCTATTTTCCTCCCCAGTTGTTTTTTGCCGCTCTTTTGCGCGAGAACAAAGCCACAAGCTCCATGTACTTCAAAGTCCCATCTGAAAATGAGATGGCAAGCAGCACACAGGCAGCAGGACCTACTCTGTACACTCTGTTGCCCAGGACTCTCTCCCTCCTTCAGTCTACCCCACTGAAGCTATGTGCAGTTAGAGCCTACTACTGCAAAGGGAAACGCAGGAGAGGAAAGAGCATATGCTGCTGTGTCCAGGGACCAAAAGTGAGCTCAGCAGGAATCTCCCCTGCTTAGTTTAATCTATGCTTGGTCTCCAGGACAGCAAACAGAATGAAAGTCCTTAAAGTTCAAAACATTCACAGCAGTATCATTTAACTATGCTTCATCAGCTTTAAGGAAATACCATAGAAAAGCTTCATTAAGAAACCTGTAAATCACTGGAGCTTAGGGGAAAAAAAATCCCTAAACTTTACAACATGGTATCTTTCAAACAAAAAAAGCCTCGAAGTCAAGAAGCCAAAGCTAAACCAGTACTGCATCTCATTTTAAGGACATCCAAAAACCCCTATATTTAACTCTGATGATCAAACCACTCTGAGCTGTTCGCATCTATCTTACAGTTTGTGCCCATGAATTCTATGTGATAAATGCAAAATACAGCTTTTGGGTACATTTTTGTGAGTCTGTAAACTCTAAAACAGTTTTAAGGAGATAATCTGCAACAGGTCAAGCTGTTCTGAAAATACCAACAAAACCTTTAGAGCCTTCCAAATTCATTTTATTTTCTATTCTTTTTTTATACAAGTGATGGAACTTGTAAGCCACAAGTTGGTGCAAAAGCACCAACAGTGAGCCCATGCAGCCAGTTACTATCCAGATATGGGCTTTTAGGTTTGGTTTAACTTGTCTAGAGGAATATGAGTAAGCTTGCTTCATTTTCCAGTGTAAGTTAATCCTTGAAACCTGTCAACCATAACAACTGAAAAAGATTAACACAATGGGAAGCCTTTTTACCTCCTAACAACAGAAGAACAAGAATTCCTGAAGTCTGTTAAGAGTTTTACCAGGACGGGATTTGACCGTAAAGCTACACAGGTGCCTCAGCTGTGGGTTCTAACTTAAAAAAGCAGACTTCCATGGAAGTATATATAATTTAAGGCTAGGCTGCCACCAAGCTGAGGTATCTTTTCCTGCACTGCAACTCAACACAACCAGGCACCTAGCAGATGCAGACTTTTGTAGGGTATTTTCAGCTAGATCAGGGTTCTTGAAATGAAATGCCAACCTGCAACCAGTCCCTACACTTGTTTTCAACTTTTTAAACAACAAACAAGGGAACACCTGTGCCAGATCTCTGCAGTGAAAGGAGCCTCTTCCAGTCCAATTTAGAAAACCAAGGACTCTTCCTCCCCCCCAGACACCCATGCTCCTTCCCTGGCTATGGTCAGACTCATCCTTACTAGCTTCTAGCTCTGCACTCTTCTACTGAGGCACCCATTCGCACTGTGAGAACAGGCATTCAAACTCCAGTATTGCAGTGCCTCCTGTTGAAATTAGTCCTTTCACTGTTTGAGAGATCTGAACTAACAAGCTGACACTTAACTTCCATCTCCCCTCTACACAGTACAGTCAACTACTGCTTAGTTGGTGTTTCTAAAAATCTTTTCACAGTGCTGTGAAAAGCTTTTCCTAATGCTCATCACTAAACCCATCAGCTCAATAGTTTGTGCCTTATTAACACGATATTCTCAGTGAAGTATCTGTTAAAGTAGTATTTTCTTGATTCCACAAGTAATTAAACTGGTATTTATGAATAATGCAGAGCAATGTAAGCATCTTTTTTCCTAACAATTATGTGCCAATAAATGATCACATAACTGAAAGGCATGCTAAGGCTAATGTTATCTCCTGCCCTAAAGGGCAAGCATCTCAACTATTTCTCAATGCACATGTACTGGCTATTTAACCACATGTATTCTAAATTCTTATTTATACATTTAATAAAGAAAATAGCTGTGTTAGGGTAGTGACCTTTTATTTGAAACTAAGAGCAGAGAGCTGCAGTATTCTAGTATAATCATTTCCACTGCATGTGCAGATCATCAGAATTCTAAAACCCGGCAAAAGCACTCCAACACAATCATTAAATTGGTGTTGCTTTACCACCTCCTAATCATTACATTTGCTTCTTTAATCTCAGATGTATGAAAGAAGCAACATCTGCTCTTTCAGTGAACTTCATCACAATCTGCATTTTCAGGAAACTAAAATCCTCTAAACTTCCTTTAATAAATAAAATTCCTTTAAAAAGGTGGAAGGGCATCAAGAAAAAAGAAGAAAAAAGAAGAAACAAAACCACAATTTCTTAGACTTCCTTGCAAGCAAGAAATAAATTAAGAATATATTTAAAGAAAGATAACAAGACTTTGTGCTTTCCCTGCAGTACATTCTGTGGGGAAAGCCACCTGCTTTTGCTTCGTACCACATTCTGTCCAACAGCCTCCAGAATAATGCTAATAAATTAAGTTTATTAATGGCATTCAATTAAGATTATGGTTTATCTAATTCTCACATGAAGCTGTAAGCTCTTTTCCTGGAAAACAACATGCAGGCTGTGCAACAGATGACTAATTAAGCGATTTAAGAACAATGTATTAAAATATTTATTAACATCAAGACAAGACATGTAAAAATAATGAGCTTTCACAGAAACAAAAGCATAATATAGTAATAAATTTTTCCCATTTTCAAAAGTTATCACCATAACCAAGGCTGCATATAGTCTGGTAGTCTTTCACAGAAGAATAACCTTAAACTTCCACAGAGTTCTCTGACCCTAATGTTTTAACATGCTGCACCAAGCTCCTGAACGTTTCTATCACAAAACCTTCCCTTAAGGCCGACAGGTATTATCCAAATACACTCTCTTTTCTCAAACAACAGAGCAGTGCAGATTTTTTCACCGACCCTGGCAATTCTGCATAGCTGCTTTAGGTGTGCTAATTAAACTGTACTTATGAAGAGAATGCTCTTTCTACCTAGTTGTTTCTTGTCCAGATTATACTGATAGCAAGACATCTCAAATCTCCCAAGTGTGAAAGTGTTCATTAACACAGGAGAAAAGTGAGAAAATCTTGGGTGGTGAATTATTTTTTCTTTTTTTTCTTTTCATCTGCTGCCATTTTTAATTTGACTTCTTCCATAGGAAGTGCTCCTAATTTCTTCTTCTTTGCATTCTTTACCTTTTCCTTGATGGCTTCAATATCAATTTTTTTCTCAGTGGAGGCTACATAGTAAAAAAATACAAAGACAACAGAAATGAATTTTACTTTTCTCTAAATTTTAACAGTCTACAAGATGACTTCATACATAAACACAGTAAACAGTAAACCGCATCCAGTAGCACTGCCTAGGACTCATGTTCACTGCTGATTTTATGAACTATTCTAATAATAAATTTTGTTGAAAACAGTACTATACACTAAAATTTCTTTCAACAGAATTCAGAGAACAGTCATATAAAAATAAAAAAATCAGAAAAAGTCCTATACAGCTGCATTTGAACAGAGATTCCACATGCCAGTTGTATGAATGCCTGTGTAAGAGACTTGTACAAAGGAGTGCCAGGGTTAATCTACAAGTTAAGCACTTAATGCCAAGCAACACGAATAACCTACTCTATAGTTAAGAGATGGCATTTTTATTTTAGGGCATAAGTCATGAGTCTGGATTCAACTCTCCTGTCTTACACAGTCTTTTGATCTCAGTTCTTCTCTACAAACTACTTGCTCTTGGAAAACTTAAGGATTTCAGGTCAAAATACACAGCAGCTAGAAAAGCACAGCATTTGAAATGCAGCGCAGTCTTTTGCAGGATGACTGAAAATTTACTGCCATCACAAAAAAGTACTGTGTTGATGCTGCAGAACACAGGCTTTTTGATAAAAGTGAACTTTTCCGTTCATAAGAAACTGTGTAATATACACTGTGAGAATATGTAGGTAGCATAGCTAATATAAAAGATACATCATATATCTAATGCAGTGAATGAGTATGTAGTATAATCAATGAATCTGGAAAACTGAAGACGTTTATCATTAGTGCATAAAAACCAAATTATTAAGAACACAAATTCTCACTCTGCACAGAGGGTGGTTTTGGTTTAACTTTTAGAAAAGCTATTTACCCTATCTTATACCAACACTTAAGTTCTCGAGTAAGTATTGCTTTTGGGTTTCTTTTTCTTAACAGAAAAGCTATTTGAATGCAAAAATTATGGCAGCCTCACTACAAGACTGAAAGCAAAAAAATCGATGTAACCAGAACTGAGCTGGCCATCCCAGCATCTCCATTAGGAAAATGGTCTACGGGGAACTGTCATTTTATAGATATAGAATTATGGCCTGCATGATCTACCTCTGTCCCTGGCAATTACAGGCATGGATCTAACCACTAGGATTTTTTTTCCATGACCTTTTTTATTTCCTACAGCTATACCTCTCCAAAATTCACTCAGCCTAGAAATCAACAGCAGATGATTTGAGAGGTTTTAGAACAGAGGAAAAAAAAAAAAAAGAAAAAAGAAAAAGAAATCAAGAGTTACCTTTCTTTGTTTTCACAGCTGGCTTTTCCTTTGGTGGAATAAAGGCTTTATTTCTTTCTTCTTGTCTTTTCTTGAGTGCGTCTGCTTGCTTTGCCTAAAGTTACCAATAAAAAGGTCAAATTATCAGTAGGATACTCAAATTATCAGTAGGGACACTCAAAAAGAAAAAAAACAACAAAATAAACCAAAACAAAACCAAGCAAGCAGTCAAATACTCTTTAACTGAACAGTGAGTTAGAACAACTTTACCTTTATCTCTTCCACTCTCTTTCGTTTCTTCTGTCTTTCTTTCAAGAAGTATTCACCACTTGCCAATTCTTTATCAATCTGCATAAGACAAGTACCAGGGAGCTTTAGGTTATTATGCACTATAAGCCAGATGTACAGGCTCAGGAAATCGGAACTAGATGGAGGCCTCCCAGCCTCTTGTTAGCAAGAACTGATTTCAAGTTGAGCTATATTCCCGCACATATCTATATGGCCCTATATATATTTATAACCAAATAAAGCTTCATCTGACCTGGCTTTCCGGCTGTGGAGGTGGGAATGGCGTGTACTCCTTCTTGGTATTTTTCTTCTTCGGCTCCTTGCGTTTTTTCAAGTTCTTCCGCTTGAACTTCGGCAAAAATCTGTCCCAGCTTTGTGATCTCAGCACAGGATCTTTTGCTAATTCCCTTTTGATCATCAAAGTCTTCAGTAGTTTTAGAATGTCACAAAGAAGTTATTAAAAAAATAGTATTACAGTAGTAGCCAAGAGCTCCAAACTATGAGTTCTACTAAACTTTCTCAGAATGAATGTGTTACATCCAAATCTTCCTCCTCTCACTTCAGTATAAGCAGAGTGGTTCAGTTATGAACAGCAGAACCAAAAAGACAGGTACGTCTCAAAGCAGGGACGGAATGCATTGGAGGAGGTGCCTCAGTTTAAATAAGCAAGCATCAAGCAAACATCAAAGGAAAGACAGTTTACAGATGCTATTCCTTTGATGTTTTCCGAGATGCTGCTAATGATATTATGGTAATACATCCTGGTACAAGTCTCAAAAAATAGGTTACCACACAGCAACACGGAAATTATCAACATACAACTCTCTGAGAAAAAAAGAGTACTTTCTTGTAAACAAAGGTGCACAGTGGACCATGCTAACCTTAATATTCTTGTAAACAAAGATGCACAGTGGACCATGCTAACCTTAATATTATATATGGGATGTATATTCTTCATTGTGTCCAGAACAACTTTTCTGACCTGTATTTAAGAAAAAAAGAAAAAAAAAAGAACAGAAAACTCAGCAAGTATTTCATATTCTAATCAATTAAATTACCAGGTATATGACCTTTCTTCCTCTCCCAGTCACTACCCTTCAAAGCAGGTAGATTTAAAAAGCTAACACACATGGTTAACCAGAAGGCACAGCACTTCAGAAGTATCAATAATCTTGTCATGTTTCTAATACACTCCAGCACACCCCACAAACATCACTTCCATGTTACCATGGATTTTATGGTGTCATGAGAAACTTAATTTTGATGAGCATTTTTCTCCTACATGGTTATTAAAAATGTATTACATATTTTTAAGGTTATATATCATGAATTCTGCAGTATTTTCATTCTTGCACCTGTTATCCAAAACTACCAAAAGTCTTGCTAAAAAAAACCAACACCCTAAAACAGTAGCTCACAAATACTTTTTTACTTCTAAGACAGAAAGACCTCAGAGTCGAAGCAAAATCCAGCAGCTAAGATGCTAAGACTACACACATTCACGTAAAAGTATCTCACACATAGCTTAAAAGTCAGCGAGATATTCCTGAGATTGCCAGATTTTGCACTTGAGCCTGGAACAAAAGTCTTCTACACAAATGGCTCATCTGCCTTCCCTTACCTCTTTTAGCCCACTGAAGGGTCCAAGAGCTGAAACAGTGTTTCCTTGCACCATGATATAACAGTTTGTTAACAGTTCCAGGGCCTACCGAAAAAAAAAAAAAAGGGGAAATGAATTAAGTATAAACTAAACTTGCTCAAATTTGAGTCTAAGAATTGTCTGGTTACTACACCTATAGGAAATACCTTTAGAGTAGATCCTTTTGGCCCAAGAAGTCGTCCTCTTCTTTTTATAAAAGTGTCTCGCTTCCTCACCAGAGTGCCTATTTTTATGATATCACATGCAACATCATCCTGAAGGATACGAACTGCCTGAGAGACAAGAAGCAGGCAATATCATCTGAATGTATCGTTCAGAAGAGTCAAGAGAATACTTCAGTTTATTCTTCTCACTTTGCTTTAAGATATATTTACTTTAAATATGTATTTTATTTTACTTGACTCACTTGAAAATCACACATTTTGAAAACATACTATTTTGTAAGTACTACCACAGAATTTGATACAAGCTTCCAGGATTTAACTCAGACCTGTTCAAATGGAACACTTCTTGCCAGAAGTTTTATTAAATCTCTAGCCCTGATGATTGCATATGGATCAAAAGTCTTCTTAGTGGTAGTGACAGTCATGCTTCCTTCAATTAGATCCAGCGCTGCATTCACATACTGCAATATTTGAACAGAAATAGTGAGTCAGCCTCTAAATAAGAACCTCAGAATTCATCTTTTGCAGTAAGAAGCTCACAAACAGAATGCTACATACAGAATACAGATCCATATTCCAAAATTCCTTAACTGACTTTCAGCTTAAGGAAATTCATGCACACTCCTTGCAAGAGAATGTGGATGATCTCTTCTCCTAAGTAAGAGGACAAGAGGTAACTGCCCCAAGCTGCACCATGGGCAGTTTAGGTTGGATGTTCAGAAAGATTTGTTCATTGAAAGGGTGCTCATGCATTGGAACAGGCTGCCCAAGGAAGTGGTGGAATCACCATCCCTGGAAGTGTTCAAAAACTGTGCAGGTGAGGCCCTCAGTGGCATGGTTTAGTGGCGGACTTTGCAGCGCTAGGGTAAAGGCTGGACGTGACTATCTTAAAGGTCTTTTCCAACCTGGATGATTCTATGAATAAAGACCAAACATATGCATCACAAGGCCCAAACCAGCACCTCCACTGTCTCCCTGAATTCAGGCACAACAAAGTTGTCAGTGTCTGGATGCTGAGACACTTGCTGCTTCAGAGATTTGCTGCCAGCATCTGTAAAGATGCAAAGAACTACAAGTCTGGCTACACAGACCTTCACCTATCTTGATGCCAATAAAAAATTACACTACCAATTCTAAAGTCAAGCATAGTAGAAATATACACAAATACTGTATCAGAAAAGCAATTTGTGCTATTTTTATAAGCTTAAGACAGATCTGTATCTCCTAAAAGATAAAACATAGTCTCACAATGAGTAAATGTTCATACATGTTCACCCAAGGCTTTCTGGACCAGTGGCCAGCACTCTTTCAAGTACGCTTCTCTGTACTTTGGGAATAACGTTGCAAAACTGCTTTCTTCCAGCAGCCCTTTGGGATTATCCTCTCTTGTAAAGGCTGGCTCTTTCCATCCATCTGGCACAGTGAGAAGTTCAGACTCATTAACTGCTGTAAGTATAGAAAAAAAAAGAAAAAAAAAAAAAGGGGAGGCTGTTTTGCATCTCTTCTGACCTTAAAGTTAATTTACTGCTTTAGGCTATTTATTTAACAAAGGAATTTTCTCAGCTGAGATGCGAGTTGTGGATAGCATATTACATAAGAAGAAGACCTAGGCTGAGCCGAGCAACCAGAGCACTATAACGAGAGGCACATCACCACAAGGCCCCACCGCTGTGTGGCCCCTACACCCACAGCCACCTCTGTGCCACGCAGGTCGGGAAGCAGCCTACCTTCCCCGCGCTGCTTCTCGGCTTAGAAGAAACCGCAGCCAAGCTCCTCAGCCCCCGGCTGTGTACGGAAACCGCAGGGACCCCTGGCGCCGGGACAGAGCAGCAGGCCCGCGGCCACGGGGTGTGCAGCCCTCAGCCCGAAGGCTTCCCAGAAAACCAGGTACCAGCCCTGTGCAGCCGTTGAACCTGCTCCTACCTGCAGCCGCTTTCTTTTTGCTTCTATGTTTCGGCTTTTCCTTTTGCTTCGGCCCGGCTCCCTCAGGATCATCATCCGCCATGTCTGCCCGCGCACTGCCTCCCATCACGCGGCAGCGGAAGCTGAGTACACCGGAAGGAGCGGCCACCGTGGCCGCGGTGCATGCCGGGAGCGGTAGTCCCAGCGGGCCTGAGGGAGAGCTGCGAGGGTGCGCTGCAGTGGCTCAGTGGCAGCTGCTATGGTTTGAGAGTGGTTTTACCTTTTGCATGCAGAACACCACGCATTTTCCTGCCAGGTTGTTCTTCTCTGGGAGCAAAAGAGTGGAAATATAGCGGGTGCGAACAGGCAGGGATGAGCTCTGCCCCCACTGAGGGGCAGTGCTGGCCACTGCTTGCTTGTGAGCAGAGAGGGTTGCCGCAGCTCCCCCTCAGGGTGGCTTTACCCCGAACTGTGCCTGTGCCTGGGCGGCAGCGGCTCCTGTGAGTGCAGCGTGGTCTGTCTCCAGCCAGCGGAATCTGGTGGGGGGTGATACTGATGGAGACCTCGCTCGCTTCCCTAGGGGGTTCTGCGGCACCTTTTGGATTCATTACAGGCACAGGCCCTAAGAAACTCAATGCCTTGGTTGAGGTGAGAGGCATATACCAAGTCTCTTCTTACCCTCCTCCTCTTTCATGTGAAACATCTTTTCTAGCCAGTTTCTATTACTATTATGCAAGGTAAAGGAAGAAAGATTCAGCGTCATCAAAACGTACTCTGAAACACATTGGTAAATAGTTGAGGTACTTGAGTGCTCGTAACTAAATAAAACATGTCCCTGATGAGACCTAATAATGCAGTTGAATAACATAATCTGAGGTTCTCAAGGGGATGCTTTGCATCCTCCTCTCTCCCCCTTCCTGTACATGTAACTGAGCATTTTCTTCAGCAAAAAAAAGCAAGAATGTGCCTTCTTCACTCTTTTACAGGGATCATGAAAAGCCAATAGAGTGAAGAACTGGGAAAAACACCTGCATCTCTGCAGTACGATGGTGTTGTCCTTGGCAGGTGTTCATCAGAACTGTTTATAAAAGCCTGCACTCTAGGTTGGTTAATTGCCATCGTGATGAGAAAGGAATTCCTATCATCTGATATACACATAAATATAATATTAATTCAGAAATCTTTTTACACCCCCCTCGCCCAAATTTGTCTTTGAACCTGACTGCTGTCTTTCCTAGCCTGCTCCATCTCCTAGCTCCGCACCCACACCATCTCCCACAGTGAATGGGACACCAGGATCCCTCCCATGTACAAGTTTGCCATTGAGATCATGCACGGGTTTAGCCACTTACTGCAATTTCTGCCTGCCCGTGTATTTCAGTCAGGTACAGCTGTGAGAGCGCCTGCGGGCCTGTGAAGGACAGAGCATCCCACCGTGGGGCTACGAGCGGCACTCCAATGATTCACCTTCTGCTCTGAGGACAACGGGGAAAAAAGCGGGAAGGCGAAAGCAGAAGGGTGCTGGCGGGTCCCTCCGGCCGTTTTGGGTTCTCCATGCCCGATACCGCTAGATGGCAGGACCGCTACGCTAAGAGGAGCATCCCCAGCGGAGCTGGAGCCCGCCCTTTGGTTTCTGCTTGAAGGAGGAAATGGGGAGAGATGGAAGCGATGGGGAATATGCTCCCGCTGTCCCGCTGCCCTGCCTTGTGTGAAGAGACTGAGATCCTGCTCCTGCCTCGCCGACAGCGGGCTTTGGATGCTGTATGCCATTAACAGAAGGGTGCAGTGCCCTGGGCACGCACAGGGAGGCATTCTCTCAGTTCTTGCTTTCTGGGGTGATATCCCCTAGCGCTGCACAGCCTATACGCTCGGGATGGGGGTCCTTTCCGGCTGTCGGCACCCGATCCATGCGAAGGCAGGGATGGGCCACCCAGGGTGGTCTTTCTCCTCGGAGAGGTAGCACATGAAGTGCACAGTGCTAATCTTACCTGAAAACTGACCAAGTGTGGAAGTGCAGCAAAGCAGATTTGGAAAGGGTTTGAGGGAGGACAAGTACTTTAGTTCTGTACTTGTTTGTAGCCTGGCTCCTCCTATGCGTAAGATGCAACCCTCCAAAAAGTCAAAGGAATGGGCTGTGGCATGCTGGCAGCTTCCTGAGTGGGATGAGAGGAGAGAGGTGGGGAGGCTGCAGGCTGTGAAGTGTCAGAGAAAAGAATACAAATTATAGGCTGCAGCTGGAGAGAAGAGAGAGCCCAAAGGAGAGGTGCAGGGAGAAGGTGTCATGGCCAAAGCAGTCAATGAGGCAGAAGGTCTTTGCAGTAGTGTGCTCTCTGTCTGTGAGCAGTTTTGAAGGTCAGAGGAAAGCTCTTGGGTGAGATACATTTATTTTTTTTCTGCTGCTGACCTCTTGGGCAGTGCTCTGCTCTGGGTATATATCTCACACCTCTGCAATGGCAGCGACAGCCTGCCTGTGCGCCCACTTCTCTCATGCGTCACAGTCTGTGCCAGCTGCTGCTGTGTGGGGGTCACCAAGTCCCCAAGTCCTCTGTGCTGCAGAAAGAGAGAGGTGCATTGTGCAGAGTGTAAAGGGCAAGGGACTAGGGCCTTGTGGCACCCAACCTCTCCAATTCAAAGGATCAACGACTGGTGCAGTGCTGCACTCAAGTGTGTCCTTGCCCAATTGAGACAGATCCACTAAAAGTAATAGAAAACAGAGGCAGTCATGCTGACAGATTTGGAAACTGATTCAGGAAGGTCCCTCACGTGCCCTCCTGTTTGATTCTTTAAAGGAGACATTAAATGCCCATCTTTCCTCTTACCTCAGGATCTGTGGTCTGGTTGGGTATGGGGAAGCCACTTCCCTAATTCCTGGTAGGGACAAGATGCTCTCACAGATCTGCTTTGCTCCTCTGGGCAAGCCTTCTCAGGCTCCAGCCATAGTCTTTTTATTAGTCATCACTAAAATTCAATAACCAGCCACTGCTTGCCTGGTGGGGTTAGGAGAGTGAGGACAGCTAGCTTAAAGACAGTGGCTGCTAAAGGGACTGGGGACTAAAGGCTGCTGCCCAGGTGACTCCAGCTGGGCTGTGACAGACCCACAGGAGTGGCATTTACCACATGCTGGTTTGGCAGCTGAGCTCCCAGGCAGAAGAGTGTAGGTGCCAGCATGGGAGTGAGGCACAACTAGTGGGACACAGTGCCGCTGCAATTCCCTGCCCTCCACCACCCTGAGGTCTGTGTGCCCTCCCAGTTCTGCCAGCACCAAGAGGCAGTGTGTTTTCTGAAAGGAGCTTTCACCGTCAGCATATACCGTGTTCATTTTACAGCAGCCCAGTATGGGATGGAGACACCCAGGTTTGAAGGGCTCTGTTGAAGACCTTTGTGTGAAAAATACAGATCCCAGCCTAGCAAAAGCCCTGTGCCTGCTGAACCCATCGCTGGGCTTTGGGTGGACCTGGATCAGCTCTGTGTATGTGCATACGTGCAAGTGTTTTTAAATTCCTCTTAATAAAACAGCACAGCCACACATCCTCCCTCACATGCATTTCAGGCTATATGATAAAAAGGACAGAATACCGTTGTTAGAATGAAGGTGCCTCTTTATTATGCAGCAAAGTAATTATTTCCCAGTCAGTAGATAAGACTCCAGCCACTTGGCACTTTCTTAACGTGCCATTTTCCAATCCAAAAGAGCAATTTGGGATTTTGTGATAATTCAAGCAATCAGATGAGCTCATGCACATGGCATTCATTCACTAGAAACGCCACACAGATCCCATTCAGCCTCAGCACTCATAAATCCATGTGACACTTTTATCTATTTATAAACTTTTAACAGCAGGTTATGATTGTTATGCAAGCCATTTTCCAGGGATTAATAAGCAGCTTGTGTTGATGGCAGCGAGAAGGGCCATTAACTGCTCTGGGACAGACATTAATCTGTGGTAAATGCTCAGCATCTGGATCATTTCTATGTAATTAAATAATCAATACTGCCTTTTGATTCAAATAACTGGAGAATTGTATTTCAAATTTATCTTAGAGTAGGGTGTTCTTAATTCTTAGTTTACAACAGGGCAGGAAACAGGCATATGGGCAAATGAGATTGGCTCTTATATTGTCATACAATTTTCGTACAGAACATCTGAAGTGATCAAAATACAGTTCACAGTGGCCACCAAATCCTATTAATGGGGCTGGATGGAGGAAAAATAATCACAGATGTGTTCTCCTTTTTTCTGTTAATATAGAGTTCTTTCATTATTGGAACAAAATTATGTCTGTGAGTGACCTGACACTGGAAGGTACCCTGGCAGAATGAAAATAACCAAACAGAAGCTCCCCGTGCCCAGCTACCTCCAGAAAAGCCTCTTTTGATTCGTTCCCCATCTGGCAAATGTGACCTCTGTGCCTTCAAACTGATGGGGTTGTGGTCTTAATTTCTCTCTTCCCTCCTCCCTTCCCTCTGCCTTTCTATCCCTGGGCAGCAGTGTAAGTCCCTTCTCTGGCTTTGTTTTGTTCTTGTCTTTGCTGTCAAATCCAGTGATGTGCAGATGTGCTGATAGATGAAGGTAACGGTGCCCATTACAAACCCAGTCAGGCAAGAACTACATTGTAGTGGTGCTGCTGCCTTCTCTGTGGAGAACTGGGGAAATGCCGAAGCAGGCAGAGCTTATCAGAGTTGAGGACAGGTAAGTGGGAGTTGAAAACATGAATTTCAAAAGAAAGAAAGAGACTTACTCTGTCATCATGGGATCATATGCTAATTCCCATCCTTTCAGGTGATCTTTTCACCATATAATTAATCTGAATCTTACCACAAGGACATGAAGGACAAATAAGAACTCACCCTCACTGTTAGTGAGCTTAAAACCTAGAAGAAAAACAAACACTCATCCAGTTAGATATCTATTCATATTTTGAGGTTGGGAAGACAGGAAGAAGATTTTGCAATAGATGGAGAGGAATATAACTGATGTGATAGCAAAGCTTTCAGATGTAGCTACCATGAAGACACTTGTAAAGTGAGGCATGAAAAGATAAAAGGGTACAGTGGCCATCATAAATTCAGCTCAGCTGAAGCACAGCTGAGTTTGTGAGAGCAAGGGCTTTCCTTTGAAAGAGAGCAGAGAAGGAAGCATGTGCTAAACCCCAAGAGGAAAAAAGAGCTGGAAAATGAGAGAACTGCGAACCAAAAGGCATCTCAAAGGGCGAGCTGGCAAAGCAAAACAAAGATAATTTATGGCAGAAGGAAGAACCCAAGATAAGAAGGAAGAACCAATGAGTAGAAAAAATGACGGCTTTGTCTGGGGAAAGACTCGCTTGCAATAAAATTGCTGTCAATTTGTGGACAAGAAAGGGATGAGAGCCAAACTGCGAAAGGAATTTAGTATCATTGTGAAATCAAAGCAGCAGGTTTAGATCAAAAGGTCTTTGGAGCAAGGGATGTGCCTAATCGTATTCATACCGTGACTGACAGAATGAGGCTTTTGTCTTGACTCTGGGAGTTGTCAGAAAACAAACACTGTACCAAGTTGTGCCACACACAAGAGATTAAAAATGGGAGGGTGAAGGTGAGTGCTGGTCAGGGTAGGTGTGTTAGAAGCTGGGGAGAAGGACATCAGGGGGCTGAGGATGGTGGTGGGAGGAAATGTCTAAATCAGAATATTGGTCCAAAGCCTCGGAGGGGAAGAGAGTCAAGGGAGGATTACAAAGTGATTGCTCTCACCTGCCTTAGAAAGTCTCCCACACAGTACAGAGAGCAATCACATGTTCCCAAAAGCCCAGCAGGGATGGCTAGCAGAGATTTCTCCAGCTGTCTCAGTCTCCATCCTATTTAGGTAATGCCTAAGATGGCCTGTGCTTGCCAGGGCAGAGCTGATCTAATGGCTCTCAGCTGTCCAGAAGAGAAGGTGTCCCTCTTCACATGGATAGCTGCGGCAACAGAACACCACATGGGCACCGGGTGCCTGAAGTCTCAGATCTGTGGCAGTACTGCGGTGTTCCTTCTGTCAGTTCCTCTCCCAGCCTCTCAGCAGTAGGTGCCTGGGGAGCCCTCAGAAAAGGAGCTGCTCCTCTCTGAATCAGGGCAGGAGAAGTGTCCCCAAGCTCTGTCCTCCCTGGTACAGCCCTGTGCCAGGGCCCTTCCGGAGCAGCAGAAGGGCATCCGCCGTGTAAACCTGCAAAGAGGAGACCCTTTCTCAATGGCATCTCAACAACACTGTGGGGTGGTGGATTGAAGCTGGAATTTCCCAAAAATGCTGTTAAAATAATTTTAGAGTCATACATGAGCAGCCAGAGTTTGAGCACAGCTTTCCTGTGGGATTTCACAACACTGCTTGTGTGTGCTATTCTCAAATGCACAGATAAAACACTCCCTCAGTCAATTTTTCTCTTGTACTAGAATCTGGACATTATTATGCAGATTTCCACTATAGCAATATTACAGCAGAATAAATAGCTTTTCTGTACACGAAGGGGAATCCTATTACATCTTCAGTAACTCTCAGTAAGCATTATCGTTATTATACCAATTGAAGAGACAGAAAACAGTTTTTAATTAAAAATATTTATAGCAGGCATAATACCAACTGCCGGTTTCACTATCCAGTGAATACATTTTGCAGCTGGTACTAATTCTCTCTTATTTCCATGAGGTTAGCCAATATCAGCTGTTCATTAAGCAAAGGACATTTCAGGAATATCCATATTATGTGCTGTAACTGACTGAGAAGTTCTTCCTTTGACAGATTTTAGGAAATCAAGATTGCTTTGCTGTGTTATTCTGGGACTTCATAATAGAGAGGTCATTTCGCAGTGATCTGAGTGGGCTGCATCATCAGTTTTATTCAAATCAATCCTAAAAACTGCTTTCCAGCAGATAAGAACATTTTAATTAGCAATATATCTTTTGTCTTCTATCTGCAGTAGAGTAGGGGGTGGGAAATTGATTTCAGCATGCCTTTTATTTTACTGGGAGAGCAGCATAATCAGAAGGTGTCAGCAGAACCACAGGCAAATTAATTTTGAGATACAGAGCTTCGTACAGCCAACCGCAGGGCTGCTCCTCACACTGAGTCCAACCGAGCTCTGCGGCAAGCTCACTGCTACCAACAGTGCCAGATGCTTCAGGGGGCAAACTCTGATAAGGCTCTCTTGTGCGAAGGGCACGATAGCAATCAGCTGGCTCACCCTGAAACACTCTCACACTTTCTGTGCCAGAGAGCATGTAAGACCTCAGTTCTTGTCCTGGTTAGATGTGTGTATCAGTGAATGTGCTTATGTGGAGCTGTAGGTGCTGGCTGGCTGGCCCTAGGAGTGGTAAGAGCAGTCGTAAACCTGCAGTGTCTGCTGCAGCTGTAACTCAGGCTCAGAGGAGCCCAGCATGGAGAGGATGGTCACCAAGGAGCCCTATTCCCAAGTATCTCCCTTGCTTCTACCTCTCTGTGCTAGAGGACGTGTATCTGAAATCCAGAGCTGGAGCAGCGTTTCCACAAGTTTTGTGCTCATGGCGAACCCTATCCCCATAAACGCAGAGATACAGCACAGTCAGCTTGTCCTTGGTTCACATTCATGTGGCTCAGAGGGAACTCTTTATGCTGAAGGCTCCAGCCCATAAAATCTAACACAAAACTTCTTGTTCTCTGTATTCATCTTGGGAGAGCTGGCAGCACAGCCAGTGAGGAAATCCCCCAGCGATTTATCAAAGTAGCAGCTGGGAACTGACAAACCAAGCAGCTCATCATAACCCAGCTTGTGGCTTGCTAAATCCTATTTGGTTATTGTTTTTCCCTTTAAAATATTAGCAGAGAGCTTCCAACATCAGATTTTAGCAAGCTATGTTTTATAACTGGAAAGATCAAACCCCATTCGAGCCTGTGGAGTCATTTACAACATGCTTATCCTTCCACTTGCAACAGATTTTACAGCAATTCCCTTTGGCCTGTATCCCTGGTACCAGCAGAGGAGACAAGGGGACCCAGCTGGAAAGGTAAGACATACGAAATGGTGGAGAGGGGCATTTGTGAGAGGTCAGAGGCTCTCCCAGGAGGTGATTCAGAGCAAGAGTTTAATGCAGGGAAGTGCTCTGAGTCTCTCCCTGGGGACCTTCTGTCCCTCCACTGCCTGCAGACTGACCTGTGAAGAGCAGCTGCTGTTACTCCCTTAGCCTTTGTGAATATTCCACTTTAATCCATCTTTAAAGCTTGCAAAAGCCTACCATGTCCGTGTGCTGACCTTGCTCTAGGCTAGCATTGTGCCAGTCATCAACAGCTTCAAGAAGCTGAGCTCCACCAGCTCCATATAGGAATGTCCAAACTCTTACGCACATTTTCTTTTACCCACAGGGAGATAAGTCTTTCAGTCAACCAAGGAGTGAACCCTTTCTTCTTGCACAGATGGCCTTTAGACTGAGTGTATGTCACTGCAGCAGTCACAGATCTGACTTTCTGAGTCATTGTGCTGTCTTACGCTAGCTGTTCCCCTTGGGATTTCATGGAGATGAGCAGTGTGCATTTGAGTGATGTGCCATTTGCTCCCTAATGGCAGCAAGCAAAGTTTCAGTGAAAAAAATGATACCAGTCAACCTTGTGGAAAGGCCATCTCCGAACAAGTGGAGCAGCAGAGCATGAAACATTCCTTCTCATCTTTTTGCTCAGCTGTTCAGGAAATGGCATATGGAAAACCAAACCGTTACTTCCCACAAGTGTTTTGTCTGGGTTTAAATAGAGTTTGTGGGTTATATAATAGTGAGTTTGCACCAGCCTGGCAAAGGCAAGGTCGGACAGTGTAGTTAGCTCTATCCATTACCAGAGCTGCTATTAAGCTTGACAGACCACTTTCCTTGCCTAAACTGTAAATTTTCAAGGGAAGGAACTTTCTCTAAGTATGTGTTTGTAGAGGAGGACAATTTGAGATGATCCTGTGCAAGGTACTGCTGCAATGCAGACTGCTGGAGTTGACAAACACTGAGTTTGTCATAAGGTTGTATTCGATACGGAAGGAAATACAACTGAACTGGTGGGTGGCACAGTAGGTGTTGAAACAACCATTCTGAAGAAAATGTCACAGACTGAAGTTTGATGGATAACATTTCATTTTTGCATGCCACCGGGTGGAAGGAAAGAGCCCATCTGTTCCCCAAGCATTGCACATTGTCAAGCAAACTGCTCACAACTTGGCACATCAGAGCATTCAAAGAAAAATAAAATAGATAAATAAAAAAAGCCAACCATAGAGGAGCATGAATACAAGATGAGTCATTGAAGTTTACCCAAAAGCAACATAAAAATGATGGTCCTTGCCAGGAATTTATGCCAGGGTATTCTCACGGGCTTGGCTTGCCGGGACGGGCAGGCATAGAGGGAAAGCAGCGGGGAATAGGGGTGCATTCTTCTGCCACCAAGGCTGGCAAGGGCCACTTGGCTGCTCGCTGCAGGGAGAATGTGTGTGTTTGTCTTAGCAGACAAGGGGCACCATTATCACATACCTCAGCAGGGTTGTAGATGTCAACCAAATAATTGGTTTTATTTAGAATATGATGTCCAATGCTTCTGAATGAAGCATTTTGGGTGTCCTGGAAAGATTTTGTATACAAACCAGCTGGAATCCCATTGACAGGAACAGCATCTTCCTTTCTCTCGCCCCCCTCTGCATTATTTCAGGCAGACAGGGCTGGGAGTGACTGAGAGGAGCTCCAAGAAACTTTTGCCTTTGAGCAGTAAAGTCTACTGGTGCTAAACATCTGACACTTGTTCATTAAATGAGACCCAGGCAAGCATTTCATCATTGAGATGACTATTTAATACATGAATGGGTAATGAGAAAACATATTTGTGGCCATTTCAAAAGGCTGTCATACAAGGAGACTCCAAGTCTGAGCAGGTTGGAAAAGCTACAGGCTGCTTAGGAAATCTTTCAAATGAACTCACACTTATAAAGCACAAAGTTGCTGTTGCAGCTTCCAATCAAAAAGTGAGGAGTGAGAGAGTGGGCATGGGGTACGCAGCGGATGCTGGGTTCCAGCCTTCCTTTAGCACAACCCATGCGTTATTGGGAAGGGGGGGACCTTATACAGATTCCCATGCAGAGCATCACAGTTGCACCCACCCAAAAACAATACATTATTCCCATCGTTCCACAGCCCCATGAGTGACATGCTAGGATTTTCCAGAAACTCAGAGAAGGACAGCACATCCTGCAAGCAGTAGTAAATCTCATGGGCAATGCTAGATAGATGCATGTTCTTATTTTGGGAATCTACCATTTGTTCAAGGAAAATTATTAATGTAAATATATTCAAAACCTGGGGATAGAAGAATGTTTCAAATGAGACAAAAAAGGGCAAAACATCCAGTAAAATGCTTTTTTTCTCTGCTTTTGGAAGATGCAGAATGCTGGCTTCTGTAACAGCAGCAGACTCTGTCTTGTGCATCCCAAGTGTCCTGAAAGGGCTGGCTGAGAAGGGAATGGCTTTTCAGTAGCTTCCTAAGTACCAGGAGACTTACAGAAAGTTTAAAGCAAGATGGTGACGTGCTAACAGGAAAAGTAGGAGGTCCTGGAGGGATGGGGAGGAGAATCGAAAGAATGTAACTCCCATGGGTTGAGATAAGAACACCCAAACAAAAACACAAACCACCCACCACCAGTAATAATAATGGTAAGGGAAATAACAAGGGAAGAGAACACAACTGCTCACCACCTGCCGAGCAATACCCAGCCCGACCTGAACAGTGATCCAGCCCTTCCCGGTAACTGTCCCCCAGTTTATGTAGTGGGCATGACGTGCTGTACTATGGAATACCTCTTTGGCTAATTTGGGTCAAGTGTCCTGTTCTCTGCTTCCTCTCGACTTCCCCTCCTCCCTGGCAGAGCATGAGACTCAGAAAGTCCTTGGTCAGAGTAAATGTTACTGAGCAACAACTAAAAACATCGGTGTTATCAGCATTGTTCCCAGGCTGAAAGTTAAAACACAGCAGTGCACCAGCTACTAAGAAGGAGAAAAACGACTGCTACTGCTGAACCCAGGACACTCATTGAAAGAGGCTATCTGGTGTTATCTCAAAGAAAAACCCCACCAACATCAACAAAACATCCCCATTACATAATACGGGACACAGCCAGTTGATTAAACCGTGCTGATTAACAAAGAGGAACAGTCGTGAAACGAGCTGCTAGATTTCTGATTCAGTCAGTGTAGGACCAAGGTAGCATTTTTGTTCAGCACCTGAAAGCAGTTACAGGAACACCACAAAGCTAATAAGTGGAAGATGCCCAGGTTGCAAAGGAAATATGGCAAGATATGGCAGTCATGAGGAGTGAGCTGGGGCAGCTGCTCAGCTCAAGTCACCCAAAGAGGACGGATTTTAACACAAGGTGATGCAAAGGATTTCAACACATCTAGAAAGGATGAGTGCTGGACTTGCGTGGTGGGAAATAGGATGCTGGAAAGAAATGACTCTGTAGTGTTTGGGAATTAAAAGAGGGCAAGGACTAGAACTGGAGTGTTCTGAACAATGCTGTGGCAAAAACCCAACCCAAACCAAACCAAACCAAAAAGATATATAACTACATGTATAAATATATAAAAAGATGTAAGAATATATTAAATGTATAGACAAGAAAATAGTGAGCAACACAGTGATACAAATGCTTATATACAACATTGGTGAGGTGATCCTGGAAACCTGTGTCAAGTTAGTGACGACATTTCTTACAGAATAACTTGCGGAAGAGACCCGGCAAAGAATCATAATAAAGGGAAATTGCTAAAAGCTCTGAAAAAATAATGCCATTTGCTTGTCAAAATACATAGAAAATGCTTCTATAGGGTCTCAAAATGCCTAGTATTAAGGTACTAATTCAGATAAAGGATTCAGTGGTAATATTCAAATTATCAACATAACATCAAGGTAGCAGTTACCGGTTTTAGGTAACAGTAACATGAAATGCATTTTTTTACACAAATCCATTTTTCAAAAAGAAGGGTTGAGATATAAATGGTTTCTCCACCTCTTGATGGCATCAGCTGGAGATTTGGTGCCTTTCTGGGTGATATGCTTTAGTCTAACCACAAGTTATTTACTTCAGTATATGGACATTCAAACAAATCTAGTGAGCTGTTCCTTGCAGGTGATTGTGCTACATCTAATTGTCCTTTCTTGCCTTCAGATCCGTGGCCCTCCCGGTTCTTTCCTCACATTGTTCTGCACGTTAATGCTTGCACAGAGTAGAAAATAACCTTGTAAATCACTGTGGTTAAGTAGCACTTTTGAGACCTTTTTCAAATCAGGAGAGAGGAAACAAAGGGAATCAGCAAGCAAGTCAAGACATGCCAATAGCAATAGGAAGCGCTAGGATTATGAGGGCTGTTGGCACCCAGCAAGCTCATTGGGACCAGAAGACATTGCCAATCTCCTGGGTCAGGTAACCCCGTTTCAGCATGTGCTGGTCTCAGACTGGTCTCAAAGCCTTTTACTGTAGGACTGGGCTGTGTGCTGACCCTGTTATCAGGTTTAAGAGCAGGAACTGTGGTCCTGCCAAAATTAGATAAAGGTTAAAAAAAAAAGAAAAGGGTGTCAGCAGACACTGCTATCGAACAGAGCGCTTGCTTGTGCTCATACCCTGTTGGAAATCATCAGCAAATTAGGTATAAAAGGAACAGGCAGGCAGCATGTTCCCAGCTGAACTGCTATAAATGTCACAGCATTTGTATTGACACCACAGGCTGCTTCATCATCACTCACACACACGCGCGCGCACACACACACACACACACACACACAAACATAAATAAAAAAGAAGATAATATTGCAAAGAGGTTCATTTTTCTAATGAGGAATGTCAAACATACGTAGCAAAATCTACCCTGCAGGAATCTAACAGACTATAATTGGGTGGTGGTCAAAGGATTATAGGAGCTGAATGGCTAAATAATAGTGATTAAAAGTGCTTAAAATGTGTAAAATCTTGTATCAAAGAGTAAATGGGAATGGGATAAAGATGTGAAAGAATTTTAACTGTTTACTTAGATCAGACAGTCCTTGGAATTGAGTGAAGAATGAGCAAAACCAAATTGTAGTGTAGGGAAAGGTACTGTATTGCTTTAGGATTGATGCTCTTCCCTTATCTTAAGGATCCCCTTATTCACTGCTAACACATAAGCAATGCCTCCCATTAAGTCACAAACCCCAGCAGTTTTTTGCTGTTTGCTCAGTATCAGAAGGAGCAGTTCACCAGGTACTGTGACAGTTATTTCAGCTCATCAGTTTTGTCCTGGGTTCAGCAGTAGCAGTCATTTTTCTCCTTCTTGGTAGCTGGTGCAGTGCTGTGTTTTGACTTTCAGGCTGGAAACAGAGCTGATAACACTGATGTTTTGGTCTGGCCAAGGACTTTCTGAGCCTCATGCTCTGCCAGGGAGGAGGGGAAGCAGGGAGGAAGCAGAGACAGGACACCTGACCCAAACTGACCAAAGAGGTATTCCATACCACAGCATGTCATGCCTGGGATGTAACGAAGAGTTACCCGGAAGGGCTAGGAGACTGCAGGGTTGGAGGAGGCATCGGTCGGTGCTTGGTCGGCCTGGGGGGGGTGAGTTATTGGTCAGTGGGTGGTGAGGTGTTGTATTCTCTTCCCTTGTTATTTCCTTTATCGTTACTATTATTGGTGGTAGCAGTAGTGATTTGTGTCATACCTTAGTTACTAAACTGTTCTTATCTCAAGCCATGGGAGTTGCATTCTTTTTGATTCTCTTCTCCATCCCTCCGAGAGTAGGGGGAGGGCAAGAAGGAGGGGAGTGAATGAACGAGCTGTCTGGCTGGGTTTAAAACACAAGTTTTAAAAGGAAAAATCAGTTTTAGAAGTTCTCCTTCAGTAGCTTGGCTGAAAAATGGCTATCTACATACAGCCTTATCCAAAATGTTCACAAGCCCCTGCTACTTCCCACACCAAAGCAAAATTCCTCTGCTTTCAGATGTGATCAGTTCAACATTTAGGACAGTTTTGCAAAGCTCTCAGTATCCCACCCAAGAGTCCAAGAAAGCATCATATTTAAGGGCAGACACTGCATGATGCACACAGCCAATGAAACTGCAGAATCAGAGGGATCATGGCAAATACTGGCAGCCCAGGTGAAATGGTGTCCTGGAGAGCCAGCAGTAATCTGAGTCTCCAGAGTACTTCAGCATCTCTTTGTCCTTTGGTGAACAAAAAAGCAGGATGGGGCTGGTTTCTGCATACAGCAATGAAAGTCAGAACAGGAAACCCAAGTTTCTAAAGGGATTTTATGAAATCTCAGTGAGGCAACATCATCCCATTTGACAAATCTCTGCATGGTTACATGTTTTGAATACTGCAATGCATCATTTATTCCTTCTCTACCAGGAGGAAACTTCTCTCTTTATAATTGATGAGATTGTGTTTGGTAACAAG